CATGTCAGCCCCTGGAACAAATTCAAAAACATGGACGGAAGTATAAAAAACCTCTTGGTAGCCAAAATAGACATGGAAAAGACCAGGGCCTTCATTCATTCCTAGGAGAATCCTCACCCAAGAACTGTCTGTTCTTAGTTGAACCCCAATTCTAACAGGCCCACGGCAGATTAAAGCAGCTGGAGGAGGGAGAGGGGGTATTATCAGAGCTGGGCTTGTTAACCTTTTTCTGTACCATGGTCCCTTTGGCAGTCTGGCGAAGCTGAGAGAGATCCCTTCTCTAAAGAATATTTTTCTTTTTTCTTTTATTTATTTATGTATTTCCTGTATGAGTTTATTTACTTTTAACATTTTTTTAACATTTTGAGTTCCAAATCGTCTCCCTCACTTCCGCCACCCCCCACCCACTGAGAAGGCCTGCAATATACCAGTTTAAATAATATTTTAATGCATAAAATGAAGTATGGAGGATTACAAAGAAAACCAGTTATATTGAAATAACCAAAAAAATTTCAGACATATTTTTCAGAAGCATAGAATCAACCAATCAACAAGAACTTATTGAGCATTCCCATGCTAAGTGTTGGGGGCACGGAGACAAAAATGAAATGGCTCCTGCCCTCAGGTAGTTTACATTCTACTGCAACTCACACCCATAAAAGTGTATACACTAAATAAATAACATAGGTCATTGCAGTGGAGGAGATATAGCAATTGGGGCATCAGAAAAGGCCTCTCATAGGTGTGGCAGGTGAGCTGAGTCTTGAAGGACACTCGGTATTCTTTCCATCTGCCATGAACTGAACACAAACATGGACCTTCATTTATGTGTTGTCTCCACCATTTAAAATGGGAACCTGTTAGGAGCAAGGACTGTCTTGATTTTCCATTTGTATCATCATTGCTTAGTCCAGCGCTTGGCACATGGTAAATAGTTTATAAATGCTCTTACATTCCATTCTCTGAGGGAGAGGGGAAGAGGGAACAGCTTCTAGACAGGGGAGACAGTCTACAACAGAGGCATGGAGGTGGGCAATAGAGCAATAGAATGTCACATGTAAGCAATAAGGAGAAGGCCAATTTGGTTGGACTGTAGAGTATGTGGAAGGGAATTGTACCAGAATAGTATTTCCATGGCATTACATAGGAACCTAGTAAAGAACACACACAGGATTATAGGATTTAGGGCTACTCAGAACCTTGGAGATCATCTGGTTCCCCCTCTCTCCCCTCCAGTTTTACAGATGAGAAAGCAGTGAAGCTAAGTGACCTGTCATGCAGACTGGGCTTGATCCTAGGTCTTTGGACTCCCAACCCTTTGCATTCTCTTCACTCTGCAGCCCTGACTCTGTGCATGTTTTACGGTTCAGACTCAAGTCCATCAGAGTTTTCATTTTGATTTTTTGGATTCATCTGAATCCCAGAAAGACCTTGTCCCTTGGGGTCTCAGACTTTCTTCTTGTTTGGATTGAGGGTTAGTCTGAGGACTAATGAATGAAGTTCATAGGCATGTAGATCTATAACTGGAAGGGACCTCTGGGGTCCAACCCCCTCCTTTTACAGGTGAGGAGACTGAGGCCTAAGGAAGTCAGGTGACTTGCCCAAGGTCACACAACTGTTAAGTGGCAGAGCCAGGACTTGAACCCAGATTCCAAAGTCAGGATTCTCTCCACAGAGACTGAGAGGGCTTGATGGTGGAAACATTCAGCATCTCTCCACTCCCTGACTGAAGCCACCTTTAGTTGGGGAATCAGCATGTTGTTGGAAGGTTTCGAGAGGAGGTGAACTTGATCATTACATCAAAACACCCGTGATCACACACGGTGCACATACAGTGCCTTCTTACCAGAGCGCAATACCTACCAGCCAGAGAATGCGGAAAGTGAGGCTCCCTCACTGATACCCACATCTGCCTTTCCCTTTTCAATGGTCTCCATGAATGCCTTATACCAATTTCAGTCCAGCTAGGGATATTAGAACAATTTCAACAATTATTCATTTATTTATTGCATAAATATTTACTGAGTATCTATTGTGTGCCACAGCCCTAGATAAGCCGTCAAAATGGGGAAAAACTCTTCCTGGGGCTTACAATCTAGTAGGGGAGGCAAAACAGGTATAGAAATTGTATCAGGAACAATAGTTAACATTTATGTAGCACTTAATATGTACCAGTAACTGTGCTAAACACTTCACAATTATCATCTAATTTCAAACTCACAACAGCTCTTCCAGGGAAGGGTTATTATTATCCTTATTTTACAGATGAGGAAAGTGAGGCAGAGATTAAATAACTTGCCCATAGTCACACAGCTAGTGACTGTCTGAGGGTGGATTTGAACTCAGGTCCTCCTGGGTCTAGGCCCAGCACTCTGTGCACTATTTCACCTTCTAGCTGCCCCAAATTATAGGAACAGTTCATGTATTAATCACACCCCATTTCTATAGGGCTTTACAAGTTACAAAGTGCTTCCCTCATTTTATGAGGGAGAAAATCCGAGCAGAATGATTTCTGACTTTATAGATGAGGAAAGAGAGGCACTGAAAAGGTTAAGTGTCCTTCTGAGAATCCTACAGCACATGGTGGAAAAAATATTGGCTTTGGAGTCAGAGGGCCTGGGTTCCAATTCCTCCTTTGATCCCTTCTACCTATGTCACCTCAGCCATGTCATTTAAACTACCCGAACCCTCACAGAAGTGAGTCCTCTTCTATCTAACCCTGGATCTATAATCCGAGATGTTAGAACCAAGACTCAAATGCAGGGCTTCAGACCTTGGTGCTCTCTTGAGGAAGAATGTGAGAGTGTAGAAGTGTGAACAAAGCCCTTCTGGAATGAACAAGTTCCTTCTGGGTTTAGAGGGGGGAAGGAATCTGGGAAGTCTTCATGGAGGAGGTCCAGTGTAAACTGAATCTGAAAGCATCAGTAGTGTTGGACAAGTGGAGGTGGGGGCAAGGAGAATGGAGGAGAAAGAACATCCCAGGAGGAGGGAACGACATGAATGGAGTCCTGGCCGGCTAGAACCAGAAGATGTGCTAGCAGATGTTTGATAACCGGCTTTCCAAAAGAAATGTGCCCACAGCACACTTTTAAGTTTCCTTTGCGTTATTAAAATGTGCTCCATCACTTTCTTAAGACTAGGCAATCAATAGCCCTGATTTGTAGCATTTGCCAGTTTCTGTGGTTGTAAATGCTCATGCTGAAAATTTCATAATCAGCTCCAGAACCTGTAAAAACTCATAGCAGCACACTCCTGGCTGGAGCACTTGTAGAAAATAAGGCTCATAGGTTGAAGCCGAGTTGTAAAGGGAGTTGGCTATCAGACTAAGGAATTTGGAATTTGGATCCTATAGATACAAGAGACCATTGAAGGATATTAAGCAAGTGAGCAGTGATGGAATCATAGCAGTGCCTTAGGATAATTGAGCTGGGGGCAGCTAGGTGGCACAATGGATAGAGCACTGCCTCTGGAGTCAGGAAGACCTGAGTTCAAATCCAGCCTCAGACCAGACACTTGACACTAGCTGTGTGACACTTCACCCTGATTGCCTCACCAAAAAATAAAAAAAAAAGAAGAAAGAGAAAAGGATAATTGAACTGGTGGCATGTGCCATAGACTGGTCCAGACCTGGGAGAGATTGGGATTAGGATATTTTATATGCATTTCTTGTTTGCTGCAGACTTTGAGAGGTGAGGCTCTCTGAATCTGCTGATTCACACCCCCAAGCAAATCTCCCTGGTCCCTGAAAAGCCCATCAGGAAGGTGGCTGTGCACCTGATAAGGATTCCTCTGGCTGCATCTTAGCCCCACTGATAGAGTTAGGCTTCAGGGCCAGTGAAGGGAAGGGAAAAGTCAAGGGAGTGGTCTTTTTTTTACTTTTCTCTTCCTGGGCTTTTCCATGTTCCTTCCACATGTGTCAGCCTTCCAGGTACAAATACAGCCAGAAGTAGAAGTCTGCAGCCAGTCCATGTTGTGGAAGCGGCTAAAATTAGCCTCTGAAAACATATACCCGAGCAAAAGGAAGCAGCACGCATTGGTCTGCCCCCTCCCTCCTAGCACCATCTTTCTTCCCAACTGCTGCCCACTGACCTTGGATTTCCAAAGGGGTTCTTGGGAAAAGATGATTTTTTGGGACCTCTGCTTCCCAGCATATAGACCTTACCTCCTCTTGACAGAACTGGGCAGGTTAATGGATTAGGTATGGAATGGGGGACACTCTTTTTTTCTACATAATCCAACTGAAATGCTGTTTGTATCTTTTATCAAGAAAGATCTCCATATCCACCAGGTTGTGTCTTCTACACCCCATAGTCCAGGGGTTTTTAACCTGGGGTACACAGTATTAAAAATATTGTGATAACTGTATTTCAACTTAAATAATTTCCTATGTATTCTATGCATTTAAAAACATGATCCTGAAGGGGGTCCATAGGCCTCAGCAGATGGCCAAAGGGAGATCCATGGCACAAAAAGGGCAAAGAACTCCTGATCTAGGCCCCAGAGGATGTCTGGGAGAATGCCATGTGTAGCAGTCACCCAGCCACAGAGACTTCGGGGTTTGTGCAACATTTAATGATGGTGACGATGATAATGATGATGAACAACTAACATTTCTATCGCACTTACCATGTCTACTGTACTGTAATAATAATTAACATTTCTATCGCACTTACCATGTCTACTGTACTGTAACAATAATTAACATTTCTATCGCACTTACCATGTCTACTGTACTGTAATAATAATTAACATTTCTATCGCACTTACCATGTCTACTGTACTGTAATAATAATTAACATTTCTATCGCACTTACCATGTCTACTGTACTGTAATAATAATTAACATTTCTATCGCACTTACCATGTCTACTGTACTGTAATAATAATTAACATTTCTATCGCACTTACCATGTCTACTGTACTGTAACAATAATTAACATGCATATAGCACTTACTACTACTTATTATATACTTTGTTCTTTTATCACAAACCAATTCAGGGCCCTCCTGTTGAAGAGATTGTGTGCCAGCCACCATCTATTGTCCTGCCTGGGGATGAGGATGCTGTCACGCCAGATGTGGAGAATGACAAAAATCTGGTGAGCAGGTACTGTGCCTTCCCTGGGTTCCCCTGTCTCTGCCTAGGTATGGAGGGAGGTCTTTGAGGTGATAGCCCACCTTGATGTGCAAAGGCAGGGATGGGCCGGAATCAGACCAGGAAACAGTAAATCAAATTCCACAGCCTAAAAAGAGGCCTTGTCGTTCTGTGGAAAGAGTGGTGCCCTGGGAGCCTGAGGGCCTTGGTTCAAATCCTGACACTTCTACTTACTGCCTATGTGATTTTGGACAAACTGCCTCCTCATCTGCTGAATGATGGGGTTGGACTGGATTGATGGCCTCCAAGGTTCCTCCCAGCTCCGAATCAATGGGCCTTAACAGGCCCGTTGCCTGGCTAGTTAGGGCAGCCAAGTGATAGAGTGGATAGAGTGCCAGATCTGGGGTCAGGAAGACCCAATTTCAAATCCAGCCTTGGACACTTACTAGCTGTATGCCCCTGGGCAAGTCACTTGACCTTACTTTTGCCTCAGTTTCCTCATCTGTAAAATGGAGATCATAATAGCACCTACCTCCCAGGGTTGTTATGAGGATCTAATAAGATATTAATTGTAAGGAGCTTAGCATAGTGCCTGGCACATATTAGGTATTCTATAAATATTAGCGACTATTATTATTTGCCCATGAATGGAGAGATGAGAAAATCTCCTATCACTGATACTTACAGATTGTAAGTCAGCAAGATATTTAACCTTTCTCAGTCTCAGTTTCCTCATCTGCAAAATGGGGGTGGTAACAACTCTAGTATCTACCTCAAAGAACTGTGAAGGGGCAAAGATGAGATATTGTGCCTGAAGCCCAATATAAATGTCAGTTTTAAATACTGTTAACTTAGCGCACCACAGACCACCTGACCCAGATCCGCTCCCTCTCTTTTCCTTTTCCACACGCAGTAGCTCAGGCTCAGGGCTCTTGCCTTCACATCAAGGTGTCTTGTTAGCCTGGCTCTGGCTTGAGTGACCCCTTTCCACTTGACTGCTTCACCATTGGAGAGATTCTATCTTGCCCTGGAGTGACAAAGAATTCAGAATTCCCTGTGACTCTATTTCCAGCCCCTTCTGGGCAGCCCCCAGGGTGGATTGTCAAGCCCATAGGGGTAAAAGCAGGCACGGTTTTGTCCCCTTTCCTTCCTCCCTCAACCCGACATTCTGTTTTCTAGACCACGCAGCCCTCGTCACTGGCTTTCTAACCGACACATGAAGGCTTCCCTTACACCTCTGACATCTGTAGGTAAGGAGCACATCAGCTGTGTGGATGTCTGTATCACGCAGGCCTTTGCTTTGCCCCTCTAGGGAAAAAAACCAAACAGCACAAAGGCCCGAGCAAATGTTGAGCTGTATATGGTGGCCTGTTGGACCAGTTGTGGTATGGCTAGAGGCAACACCTGAGGGTCCCAGCCCAACTGCTATTTGACTTCAACCTTCTTAACCCAGGGCTTATCCAGCCCTCACAGGGGAAAGGTGATGCACAAATACAAATTAACACCAAGCTAGGCATGAGATCAGGCTTTCAAGGTTGATGGGAAAATTGGGCAGCCCCCATGAACTCTGACCTTATGACTGACCAGTAATCAAGGGAATCAGTTGGAGGTTTCTGAAGCCTTTCCCCAGAGACTAAAGAGTGTTTTTCCTTTAAGTCATCCCAGACTCAAGAAAAGAACACTAAGGAGATGGGGCCAAGCACAGAAAGACTCCCCTGGAGGTTACTCTCCTTTAGGTCAGAATCAAAGGTCACCTGAGAAGGAAAAAAAGAGGGGGAGGAGGAGGAGAAGGAGGACGATCAGGATGACTATAGGTAGGAATTGACAGCACCTAGGATCCTCAAGGTAGGGGGAGGTCTGCCCTCTTCTTTTGGTAGACAGCAGAGGTGTCAAATTCACAAGGGCAGCAAACCTCCATAGAGTAAAGTGTAATTGGGAAATACTTAACGAAATAAGTAAAAATATAATACAACATAGATAATGTGAATTTGTGGTTTTCTAAGTCAATGTTGTGCCAGCAGGGATCTGTTTCTATTTGAATTTGACTCCCCTGGTGTAAAGTAAAGACACCATACTTCCCACGCTATCTGCACGACTTTGGCAAACCAGCCCTGAGCTCCATGGGTTTCTACGCATGGTGCAGTCAAATCAGTACTGGATTCAGGTGGAGAAGACTTGAGTTTATATTGCTACTCTGAGGTCGTGGCAAAGTCCGTTCCCTTCTCTGGGCTTCAGCTTCCTCAGTGAAAGGGCTAGCCAAAATCTGTGGTTCTCAAAGGTGGGGTTGTGAGCCCCTTGAGGCGTTCTATGAAGGCCCTTCCCCTGCCCCCACTGCAGTTTCCTGCCTGCTCTTCCCTGTTTGATGTCAGGAAAGTTGTAGGCCCAATAATGGGAGATAAAAACAGCCTTCTGGGGAAAAAAGAAGGAAAAGGATGAGAGGCAGAGGGAGGGAGGGAAGGAGGGAGAGACAGAGGAATCCTATGGGCCAGGTACTGGCTTGGAGACCCAATGGCAGGGGAACCCTGCTCTGGAGCTAATTTTAAACGTTCATCATACAGTGTCATTCCTAGGGCAAAGAAGCAGCCTTGGAGAGTCAGTGGCCTGGCCCACAGACTGGGATCTGGAAGGAAGGCATGCAATCCAATCCCTCTTTTTGTGTCCCTTCTCGCTGTAAATCCCATTGGCCTACAGGTTATGTGGCCCCATCCACACCTCTGGGCCTGAGCTGGGCCAGGGAGGAGGGAGGGGAGCCAGGAGAACGGCTCCCAGCTAAGCAAGTGAAATTTTCAGGGCCTGGGTGAGAAAGGGCATGGTGCTCCCAGGGAAAGCCTGGAAAAAGGGTAGCTCCCCCCTCAGCTTCCCCACCTTTTACCATCTCTGCCACATCATGCACTCACTTGCCGTAAACTTGCAGACAGTGCAGGCCACATCATCCATCTGGTGAGTGACCAGCTGCCAGACATCAAAATCTCCGAGGAAGATAAGAAGAGGAACCTCGAGCTTCTTGAGGAGGCCAAGAAAGTGAGTGAGCGTTTCCTGACCAGGAGGGGCAGAAAGTCCAGGAGCAGCCTGCCTGATTCCCCTTCAGGTAGGAGGGAGCCCATGGCTAAGATGGGCCCACTGGGGCCAGGAGGGCCCGGGGAGCTCCTCTGAGTGCAGGCTACATTCTGGGGGCAGTCTGGTCACGGCCCTGACAAAGCTGGGAGGGTTTTTAAATTCAATTAACATTTTAAAGCATAATCCTAATGTAATTTTTCAATTAACAAGCATTTATTTTCTTTCCCTCTCACCTATCCTCATTTGAAATGAAAAAGAAAAGCCTCATAACAAATATTTTTTGTCAAGAAAACAAATCGGGAGGTGTTTCTGAGGGGGGCTTTCTCTTTACCTTGGCAATACAAAAAGCCTGCCCCCACCCCCGAACTTACAGACCAACCTAGAGAATCTTACCTTTAGAAACTAATGTGGCAGAACTGTTGCAACCTGACTGGAATTCTCTCTACATGGTATAGAAGTGAAAAGACCCTCCTTCTGAGGTTCACTACAGAGCAAAGCTGGCTTGGACCTCTTCAGATCTCCACAACAAAACAGCAGTGCTAAAAGTCACTTAATTTCTCAGTCTGAAAACTACCTGGACTTTGTGGACATATCTCTGTGGCCCATCAAGCTGCTGCCTTGCCCATTGTCCTTCCGAATGTTCCCCTGTCCCCATCCCCACCCCCATTCCTCCTCATCATGTTACTATGTCCCCTCTCAGCAGCAGCTTCTATATCTCTGAACCAGGGCCCAGTCCTACATTCTGCCTGGACAGGGCTCCTAGGCCTGGTGTAGAAATGGCAGCCCACATGTTCATCACTTTGTTTCTCCTGGCCTCAGTTTCCTCATCTGTAAAATTAGGGAGTAAATTTGTAAAATCAGTAAATCTGTAAAATTAGATGCCCTTTAAGGTTCCTATGACAGAGAGAGAGTGTGAGAGAGAGAAGAAGTGAAGCAGCCCCTGCCCTCAAGGAACTTGTATTCTACCTGGGGAGACAACATGTAAATAAATAAGCATATAATCTGCGTATGTATGTGTATGTGTATATATGCAATATAATACAAACAAATATGAATGTGCGTGTGTATACATGTATGTTTAAACATGCATATATATGTGTGTGTGTGTGTGTATGTATATATATATGTATGTATACATGCCCTGGTCTGTCCCAGTGAGAGGCTGACATGGCTTTCCATATTTGTTTCTGCAGCCATTTCACCAAACCTCAGTCCTGGAGCTTCTCCTACAGTGTCCCAGAGCAACTCCCTGAGCAGCCCACCTTCACTACCAGGTAAAGTGAACTAAGTGTTTAACCCAGGGCCTTGTAACCCTATGTGCCCGGCCTCTAGCCTGACAGGCTGCTCCCTCTCACCTTTCCTGTTCTCCTCTGGGTGCCTGTCCACAATCCTCTTCTGGTTCCACCCTGCCCTACCCCAGCTTCAGATTCCAAGGCAGATTATGAATGGGTCAGTTGACTCTTCCTTTCAGCAGGGGATCCATTTGAGGAGGGCACACATTGAAGGAGGTTGGCTGCTGGTCAGGCCTGGGGTGAGAAGAAGCCAGTGACATTAGAGCAGGTTATGGAAATAATCGGGGTTAGCCACAGGATGGTTTCACCAGACCAGAGGCAGTGGGTATGGTGGATAGAGCACTGGATTGAGTTAGAGACCTGGGATTGAATCCTGCCTGGACACTTACTAAGCTAGATGTGTGACAGTGAGCGACTCAAGTAACCTCTCGGAGCTTCACTCTCCTCATGTCTAAAATGGGGTTGGACAAGGTGACCTCTAAGTCCCTTGAAGCTTTAAACATCTGGTCCTGTAATCCCTTCTTCCAACCTAAGGCCAGACAAGGAGATGGCCTTCCAAGTTCTCTGCTCTTTGACACCACACGTGTAAATGGACCATACAGACAAATGAGGAATCCAACTTTTGTCAAAATGGGGAATTCCCCTTTGGTAATATCTCGACCCCTCTATGCCTTAATGCGTAGTGATTACAGTGTCAAGAATAAGCACCCATAAGGGCTGCTTGAGGAGTTTGAGTTTCATCTCCCCCATTAGAATGAAAGCCCCTTGAGGACAGGGCCTATCTCACTTTGTTTTATATCCCCTGCACCCATCAGAATGGCTGGCACGTGGTAAATGCTTAGTCCTTGCTTTTCATTCATTCATTCAGCTTAGGGTCATACAGCGCCTCAGTGTCAGAGGCAGGTCTTTACTCCAAGTCCCATGTTCCATCCCCTCCCCCACTGCCTCTATAGAGGGGCTTTAAAAGTCCCCCAAATGCTTCAGTATGTACCCAGTCCATCTTGGCCAGAAGATAGTACCTCCAGGACATTCTAGCACGCCAGGATACTCGGGAGGCAAAACTTGTCTGTGATGGTTTGGGGATGGAATTCTACAGATTTGATGCCTCTGTCCTCAGCAGCACAGGTACACCTGGTACAGGTAAAGCTGTGGGAAGGAAAGTAGACATCGCATTACTCTGCAGGGGAAACGACACCTGGTCGGGCTGTGCCTTCCCAGCCCCCTCTCCTCTTTATTGTTCCAGGTTCTGAGGTGTGTGCTGCCTCCCTCCCTGGGCCAGGATCTCCACTACAGGTAAGAATACACTTCTTTTTAAATAATTTTATTTTTTATTCCCAATTACATGTAAAAACAATTTTTACCATCTGCTTTTTAAAATTTTCAGTTCTGGGGGCAAGTAGGTGGATCAGTGGATAGAACACTGGCCCTGGAATCAGGAGGACCTGAGTTCAAATCCGGCCTCAGACACGTAACACTTACTAGCTGTGTGACCTTGGGCAAGTCACTTAACCCCATTGCCTAGCCAAAAAAAAAAAATCAAGCAAATTCTCTTCTTCTCTCCCTCCCCTCTTCTCTCATAGAGAAGACAAGCAATTTGATATAGGTTATACATGTGCAGTCATGCAAAACATATTTCCTTATTAGTCATGTTATGAAAGAAAAGACAGACCAACCCTTCCCTACCACATACACACACAAAAAATAGAGTGAAAAATAGTATGTTTTGATCTGCATTCAAACTCCATCAGTTATTTCTCTGGAGGTGGATAGCATTTTTCATCCTGAGTCCTTTAGAATTGTCTTGGATCATTGTGTTGCTGAGAATAGCCAAGTCATTCACAGTTGATCATTGTACAATATTACTGTTAGTACGTACAGTGTTATCCTGGTTCTACTCACTTCACTTTGCATCAGTTCATGCAAGTCTTCCCAGGTTTTTCTGAAATCATCCTGCTCATCATTTCTTATAGCATAACAGTAAGAATACACTTTGTTTTTGCTTTTTTTGGTGAGACATAGGGGTTAAGTGACTTGCCCAGGGTCACACAGCTAGTAAGTGTCAAGTGTCTGAAGCTGGATTTGAACTCAGGTCCTCCTGACTCCAGGGCCAGTGTTCTATTCACTGCACCGCTTAGCTGCCCCCAGAATACACTTCTTTTGCTGGACATAGAATGTTACAAAGTTCTTAATCCAAAATAGGATCTACACCGATAAATTATTCATCCCCTGAACCAGCAGTATGCTGGCAAAGGTTTAACAACAGGCTCTCCAGAAAAATACATGCTCAAAAAAACAAAAGTTTGCTAAACATACTTTTAAGTTTAAATTGCAATATTAACATTTTCTCTATTAATTTCTTAAGTTTAGACAATCAATGAAACAATAAATCAAAACCCAATTTATAGCATTTGCCAATTACCAAGATATCAATTCTTACACTGAAAAATTTAATAGTCCTAGCCGCCTCCAACATACTCCTTCCCTGAATGCATTGGAGGTTGGGGAAGAGTCGTGAGAACTTGCATTAATGTAGACTTCTATGTTTAAATGGTGTATATATATATACATATATATATATATATACATATATATATGTATATATATATATATTTATTTATTTATCATAAGAAGGTTTTGTGGTACAATGGAAAGAGCATTTAATTTGGAGCTAGAGGACCTGGTTTCAAATTCTGCCTCTGTCATTTACTTTGTGTGACCTTGGACAAATCACTTAACTTTTCTGGGCCTCAGTTTCCTTATCTGTAAAATGAAGAGATTAGACTAGAAGAGAAGGCTTCTGATCTCCAGATCTCTAGCCCCTTGACCCTAAATCACTTCAGTTCTCTGGGCCTCGTTTCCTCATATGTGAAATGTGTGTCGTGTGTGACACCACCTGATGTCACACACCCCTTTCGGCTCTAAATCTGTGACTCGATAACACTGTCTCTCACTTTCCTTGAGGCAGCTTTGTGAGATGGGGGGCAGCTGTGCAAGTCTTATTTTCTCTACTTGGTAAATTAAGAACCCAAGCCTCAGAGAGGTGAAGCTGCTTAACCCCAGTCCCACAGCTAAGAAGGGCTGAAGCCAGGATTCAAACCCAGGTCTTCTGCCTCTGGGTCCGGTGATCTTTGGTATCCCAGTGTGGCTGCTGTTCTTTGGATTCTGCTGGCCTTTGTCCAGTATTGTCTCATGCGTTTGTTCCTATTTCTTCTTGTTCTTCCCATTTGTCAAGTCTTGTGACACCTTCACGTTCTGTTCTGTTAATATACCATTCCCATGGCCCTAGCTTCCGGGATTTGTTTGCTTTTTCCTTCTGTAAAAACAGCTTTGACTATTCTTGTAATAATAAGCCCACCCCAGAAGAGGATGCAGATAATAGAACAGGGAAAGGCCTTAAAAGTTATCTAGTGCTCTCCCTCGTCAGTCAATAACAAATGCCCGGCATTGTGCCAAGTGCTGGGGATACAAAAGGCGGCAAAGGACAATCCTGCCTTCAAGGAGCTCACGGTCTAAAGGGGGAGACAACGAGCAAGCAAATATGTACAGATAAGCTTTGTACAGGGTAATGAGGAAATAAGAGAGCAAAGGCACTAGAGCTAAAGGAGTTGGGATTTGACATTTTACACATGGTGGAGAACTGAGGCCTGGTGAAGTAGCGATGTGCCTAAAGTCACCCAGGTAATAAGAAGCAGAACTGAGATTTAAGTCCAGGTCCCCAGACTCCAGTACACTAAAGATTTCTTCCTGTTAGAGTCGTATTTGGAGAATCCCTGGATCAAAGGGTACCATCAGTTTTTTTATCTGTTATCACAATTAAAAATTAGAATCCCAGAGTTGGTAGACAGGTCAGAAGCCATACCTGAGCAAGAATTCATTCTACAACATGCCTGATAAGTTTTCCTAGGCCCTCTGCTTGAAGCTCCCAAATGAGGAAGAGCTCCTTACGTCCCTAGGCATCCCATTCCATTTTGGGGGCATCTTTAATTATTAGGAAGATTTTCCTGACGTTGAACCTATATCTTCTTTCCTGAAGCTTCCATGCATTGCTTTCCTAGGTCTGCCTTCAGGGTCCTAGTAGAATAAGTATAATCTTTCTATGTGCCGGTCCTTCAAACATTGAAATTACCCTGTCCCTCCCAAGTTTTCATTGGTTTCTGCAAATTACCCTACTGTATTAGGACCTTGAAGCCTCTCGCTAGGAAGGTTATCCTTCCCTGAATATATTCTGGAGTCTGTGTCTTTCCAGAAATAACGATCAGAGCACAGCATGACAGAGATATCACTTTCTTCCTTCTGTACATGACATCTCTTTTGATGTAGCCTGGGGTAGCATTCAGTTTTTTGGGCTGCTAGGTCACATTATTGCCCTGTATTGAATTTATGGTCCACTAAAGCCCCCCAAGTTATTTCCACAAGAACTGTAGTCTAGCCATATTTATCCCAACATGTTCCTATGCAATTGGTTTTTTAACCCAAGTGAGTGACTTTGCATTTATGTCTATTAGATTTCATCTTACTTGATTCAGTCCAATGTCCTAGCCCATAAAATACCTTTTTGCATCCAAGCTTTGTCATCTAGCTATTCCTCCCAGCTTAATTTCATCTTCAGTTTTGACAGGCATCTGTCTTTGTTAAAGTCATTGACTTAAAAATGTCGAACAGCTCAGGGCCAAGTACAGATCCCTGGGGCACTCCGCTAGAGACCTCCATCCAAGCTGACAAAGTCACTGATGACTACCCTTTGGGTCTCAGTCATTCCACTAGTTCTGTTGTATTATTGTCTAATCCATTTGTCTTCATCTTGTTCCCAAGGATACCATGATAACTATCAAATGCTTGGCTGAAATCTAAGTGCCCCATGACCTTGTATTTATAGCTTTGTCCTCATCTAACTGTCTAGTTAGCCAGTCACAAGAAGAAATGAGCTTATTCTGGCATAGCTTGTTTTTTGATGAAATGACGCTAGCTTTCAGTGGATACTACTTCCTTTTCTAAGTGTTTACAAACCACTCCCTTTGGGAATATATTATCATTTTTTAATTATTTTTACCAATTTGATGAGTATAAATTACCTCACTGTTGTTTTCATTTGCATTTCTTTGATTAGTAGAGTTTTAATACTTTTCAAGTGAAGAGGAACAATTTTGGCCACTACATGCTGCTTGGTTTATTTCCAGCTACTCTGTCTGAACATTCTCTCATTTGTAGCTAGTTATTTTACATGTTGTCTCCTGCACTGGAATGTGAGATCCTGGAGGAAGGACTTTCTTGCATCTCCAGAGCTTAATCCGGTGCCTGACACATAGTAGATACTTAATGAATGTTTGTTGACTGACTGAATCTGTGAGCTAGGTATTCTTTCTTTTTTTTTAATTTTTAGGCAATTGGGATTAAGTGACTTGCCCAGGGTCACACAGCTAGTAAGTAGCAAGTGTTTGGTTTGAGGCCGCATTTGAACTCAGAGCCTCCTGATGTCAGGGCCGGTGCTCTATCCACTGTGCCACCTAGCTGCCCCCAGAGAACTAGGTATTCATATCCTTTGTCAATTTGTCCATTAGATAATGGGCCTTATGCTTAGAAATATGTGTCTAGTACTTATAGATTCTAGATAGCAAATTTTTATCAAATAATTTTACCATGAATTTTTGTCAATCTGTTTTTTATTCTCCTGATTTGGAATACATCATCTTTAATTCTTTAAACTTTTTATCATATTCTTTGTTAGCATCCACAAAGCACAGAAGTAAATATTTTTTAAAATGAAAGGCAAAATCTTACATTTTAATGTGCATTGATTGATTATGTAAAGCTTCTAATTTTTAACAAAATAGAACCAAATGAATTAACAAACAAGCAAAGACAATTATTTTGTCCTATATGCTACTCAAGGTCTAGTTGAAATTCAATTGGCCAGCTTTATTTCTTTTCTGCTTTCTTGTCTCTGTCTTTGTCTCCCTCCCTCTTTTTTTCTATATAATTATAATCAATGTCTAAGTAGCTATGGTTCTAACGATTTTACTTGGCATCGTTACCTGAGGGTCTTTCCCTATGCCTTTGTGTGCTTCATATAGTTTTATGGTACCATAATATTTCATTATGTAAATATGCCATAATTAACTTAGCTATTTGCTAACCTTTGGACACAGATGGCACTTCCCAATTTTTGCTACTACAAAGAGACCAGTTTGGGCTCTGTATACATAGGCTCTCTCTTCCTTTTTATGATATTTTCAGGATAAAGTCCTAGCAATAGACTTGTTGGGTCTAAGAGTATAGTCATTTTTGCTACATTAGTTTCTAGTTTGCAAAATCTCTTTATATTTATATAGTTAAATCCATCTGTTTTGTCTCAACTAAGAGATCAACATTTCAAAAAGTGTTGGTTCATTTAAAACATTTAATTTTGGTTTATTTCTTGCTTGCAGAAGGGAGATGATCCATCATTTCACCTTGACCTACCTGTGAGTCTGCTTTCCCTACTCAGTTTTAACAATCTGTGTGCAGGGCCCAGCAGTTTCCACCCACAAGAGGAAAGTGCTGGCGATGCCAGGCCGCTGGACAGCTTTTGGTGGGAGGGAAGGTGAAAGTAGGTGTGATGGGGTGTTAGAAATTGGCCGGCCATATCTGTTATATTTAACAATGATGCTAAAAGTCAGGAGTCAAGCTTGGCAGGAAGTTAGGTCTTGGGTGAAACCTTATTTATAGGAGCCCTGATTCCAAGGTCAGAGTCCAATTTCTGGTAGGGAAGAGATGAGGATGAAGGCTGGAAGGCTTAGTCCTCCCCTTCATCAGTATCAGAATTTCCTTGTTGGTTTTGAGATCCAAAGTGAAATTCCCTTCTCTGTTTCTGGTCTGGATTGGACATCAGAAAACCTGAATTCAAATTCTAGCTCAGCTTCTTAATATCTGTGTAACCATGGGCAAATTTATCTGGTCCTCAGTTTCTGCAACTGCAAAAATGAAGAGAATAGACTATATGACCTCTAAGTTTCTGTCTAGCTCTAAACCTACAGTTTATTTATTTATTATGCCCATTCTACAGTTGAGAACATTGAGGCTAAGAGAGGTTATGTAATTCTCTTCTCATTCCACATCTAGGAAGGCTCCCCCTTGTCCTGGCGTCAGTTGTACCTACTCAGGTCTAATCACAGCCTTCTTCTTTTAGAACGCCGCCAAGGGGCTAACGGACCGAAAGCAGAATGACCAAAGGAAGGTGTCTCAGGGACGACTGGCTCCTCGCTCCCCCGGTGCTGAGAAACCCAAAGAGACATCATCTGAACAAAAAGAAAATTCTGATCCTCTTAAACACGCAGAGAACAGTACACCCAAGGTTCTGGCTTCTGGCAGTGGTGGAGGGAAAATGTCCCTCAACAGCCCTACAGGTGCTGGTGAAAAAGATCCAGGGAAGCAGCTTCTTAAGAAGCCCAAGGAAAGTGACCCCCTCCTGAAAAGCCACATCCAGGGCCCAGGGCCAACTCCCCAAGGACCCCAGGGAAAAGGCCCAGCCTGGGAGCCACTCAACTCCAAGACCCCCTCCAAAACTGACCTCAAACCTTCTGGATTCCGACCCCCTCTTCAGCGGGGGGTGTCCTGGGACAGTAGCGCCATGGAGCTGGGGCCAAAAGACAAGGTCATTGCCAAGCTGGCATCTGCAGAGGAAGAGAAACGCTTTCCCAACAAAGCTGGCAACAAACTCCCCAAATCATCAGGATTCAAGGACTTTCAGATTCAGGTTCAACCTGTGCGAATGCAGAAACTGACCAAGCTCAGAGAGGTGTGTTCTTTGTGGGAGAAGAGTGGGCTGGCCCTGGGAACAAAGTGGGCTAGCCTTAGGAACAAGGTAGGCTAGCCCTGAAATAGTGGAAAGAACATTGGGTTTGGAGTCAGAGGACCTGGGACCAAATCCTAGTTTTGCTGCTTACTATCTGTATAACCTTGGGTAAGGCACAGAACCTCACTGGGCCTCGATTTTGTCATATGTAAAATGAAGACATTGGCCTAGATGACTTCTTAGGTGCCCTCCAGCTCTAAACCTATAATTCTACAATCTCGCTTCACTTCTCCTGTAGTCCATACAACTCTGAACTCAAATGGACAGCACTATGGGTCTAGACTTGGACACTGAGGAGGCTTCCTTTTTCCATGTGGGGCAAGCCTTCAGAATAATAAATTTTTTTTTTTAGATTGGGCTCTGGTCAGGAAACTCCCCCTACCAATGCAGACTAACTTATAGTCTCTGCAGCTTCTAGTCTTATAGACTTGTTTAGTGAACTGAGAGGTTAAATAATTTGCCTAAGGTCACATAGCAGTATGTGTCAGAAGAGGGGCTTACACCCAGGTCTTCCTGACTGTGAGGCCAGCTTTCTATCCTTTACTCCATGTTACCGCTCGTTAATATAATAATTACCATTATAATAATGAGAGGCATCATGAACTTATAATTAATATAAATGATAGTTATTATTATTCTATTTGATCCAATAAACATTGGTAAGGGCTTCCTATATGCAGAGGGCTGTTCTAGGTACTGAGTGACATTTTGGATGAGGTCTATGATTTTGTCTGAATTGGGAATCCTGAGTGCAGATACTCCTCTACTGAAGGAGATCAGTCCTTGCTCTTCTGACTCTGAGAGCCTTGCCTGGGGCACTGAGATGTGTTGTATGTATCAGTCAGGGACTTGATCTGAGATCTTTCAAACTCAGGAGGCCACCTGTCTAGTCACTGCACCAAAGCTGCCTGGGTGATATAAAGGTGAATAATTATAATTATAATCTGCCCTGAAGGCATAGCACTTGGAATCAGAAAGACCTGAGTTCAGATCCTGCCTCAGACACTAGTATCTGTGTTTCCCTAGGCAAATCACTTAACATCTCTGAACCTCAATTTCCTCATCTGCAAAATGGGGATAATAATGATAGCCTCTGCTTCACAGGGCTGTAATGAGGATCAAGCTATTATTGCTGTTATTATTATTTATTGAGGAGAGGGGCAGGGGAAGGAAAAGACAAAAACTCAGATAGCCTCTGTTTTCAAATAAAACTGGCTAAGTACACAGGAGAGGTACAACCAAGGTTCTACATATGGTCCAAGGAAGGAAGGGTCAGTTCTGGCAGAAGGTGGCTTTTGACCCAGAAGGGCAGCAGAGGGGAAAGGGGCAGGTCGAGGAGGGCATTAGGTGGGTCGTTCTTGCCATCTTCAGGAACTCTGTACATCTTACAGTTTCTTAGTATCCCCTGCATTTAGAATAGAGTCTGGCACTGAGTAGTGCTTGATAAATGTTTGCTGATGGCCTGGCAGACAGCGATGTTACAGGCCAGAATTCCAGGTGTTCCATGGGGAAGGTGTGCTATTCACATATGAGTGGATCCTCTGGGAGCAGCCAGCCCTGCATACTTCAGGCTGCCTGGCTTCCTGGCTTCAACATACAGCATGTGACATGTAAACAGGAACCAGATGACTAAATACCTTGTCAGTCCTAAGTGCTGTCATGGTCAGGGATGAAATAACCCTGCCTCCCTGCGAGTTCCAAGAATCCTTCCTTCCTGGTAATCTATCAACAAACTGTCTAAAACTCTCCCCAGAACAGTCACTGGAGTTCATATAACATTCCCTCCCTGACACTTGAGCTCCCTGGTTTCTAGGGTCAGAATCACAGGACTCAAGCCAGAAAGGCTTTTGGAGGTACTTAAGTCATTTCCAGCCCATGCCTCCTACCTCTTAGATGTGCAGAATGCCTTCCAAAGAAAAACCTTTCACCAGTCAAATCTGAGGACATGGCCCCTTAGGAGGGTACCAGCTGCTTCTCTTTACTCTTAGGGTAGAAGAATTAGAGGTATCCAGGAGTAGGAGGGAGGGTGGGCACTAACCTCCCATAGCTCCTTTCTTCATCTTCCATAATCACTCGCACCCTCACCCTCAGGCTTCAATATGACTGATATTCAAAGAGAGAGGGAGACCAGGTTTGGACGGGAACTGGCTGCACTAGAGTTTTCCCCTTCATCCCCAAATATGTGAGAGGAAAACCGAGGAATCCTGGCCTTCAAATGGCTCCCTGCTGGTTTGTCCGCAGTTAAATTACTGTGCCATCTCATACCACTTGGCTCCTGGGCATTCAGTCCTGTTTGTTGACCTTCTTTACTTACACAGATGACTAGTCCAGGCACGGGGCTGGGGAGCATGGAATTTCTTGACCCTGGACTTCAGAAATTGCCACAAAAGAGAGTGAGGCTGACTTTGCACAGCTCTGCCTCACTTAAATCCAATTCACATGAAATTCAAGACTTCACCCTCTTGATGTCATTGGTCCCCTTCAAGAACGAAGGACAGACAACAACAAGAGTCTATTCAAACAATGGACTTAGGATGGCAGAGATACAATAAAGTGAGGTGGGTAGACAATACCCAACTAAGCCAAACTCTCTAAAAATAATACCTTCTCCTTCTCCTGCCCAGGAACACATCCTGATGAGGAGTCAGAACTTGGTGGGCCTGAAACTTCCAGATCTCAGTGAAGCTGTGGAACAAGAGAGAGGTAGGTAGGTTGGAGGCAGTAGCTCCCCAGGTGGCACCTGTTTCCTGCCAACAGGCCCTGGACCCCTCCTCATCATGCCATTATCATATTGTCCCGCCATCTCAACATGGCGCCCACCCATGCGTGGTTACCAAGCTTCATTCTCTTTGTCTCCTTGACACCTGGTGGGTGCTTGCTCACTCAGGCTCATTTCCTTTCCTCACATCCGTTAGATTGTAAGCTCCTTGAGGGCAGGGGCTATCTTTTTGCCTCTTTTTGTATCTCTAGCACTTATCACAGCACCTGGCATATAGTAGGTGCTTAATAAATGTGTATCAACGGACTGACATCCAAATCAGTTATCAACTTCTATCAGTTCTTTTTTTGTTGTTTGTTTGTGTAACAAAATGGCTCTGTTCTCTGTTTTCTCATTATCAAAGCCTCCAGGTCTTCCTTGCCTTGTACCTGGATTATGGTAGTAGCCTCCTAACTGGTCATATAATCTCTCTAGCCCCCAGAGTGAGCTTCCTAAAAATCCCATTTTAATCACGTCTCTCCTCTACTCAGACATCGTCAATGGTTTCCTGTTGCCCCACTAATCAAATCTAGATTCCTTTGTATAAATTTTAAGCCTTCTCCAATCTGGCTCTGCTTTACCCAGCATCCCCCTCTGCACACTATACTCCCTCCTGATTCAGTTTCTTTGCTCATGCTATCATGCTCCCTAGAATGGCTTCACCCCTTCTTTACATATATCCATAGCCTTCTCATCCTTCAAAGCCTGACTCAATTCCCGTCTCCTCTGGGAAGCCTTCTTGGACAACTCCAAGTAAGTCCAAGCTGGTAATTGTTAGCAGTACCACATGACCTAATCCTTCATTTTCTCAGCATATCTTACTACAAGATAAAATAATAACAACAACAACTAGCATCTATATTGTGCTTTTAGCTTTTGCAACGTGCATTAGAAATGTTAACCCATTTTATCCTCACAACAGCCCTGAAAGGGAGGTTCTATCATTATCCCCATTTTGCAGACAAGGAAACTGAAACAGACAAAGGTTAGGTAACTTGTCCAGGGTGACACAACTAGGAAGTATCTGAGGTGAGATTTGAACTCAGGTCTTCTGACTTCCAAGTCTTGCCACCTAGCTAACTTAAGCAAAGTAAATCTAATCCCTCTTCCACATGACAGCTTTTCAAATACTAGAAAACAGTTGTCATATTCTTACCCTAAGTATTCTCTCCTCCAAATTAAGCACCCCCAGTTTCTTCAGATGATCCTCATATGGCAGGATGTGGAGACCCCTCACCATCCTGGTTGCCTCCTCTCCAACATATTGATGCCCTTGGCCAAACAGAATGCCCAGGTGTGAACAGAATGCTCCAAGCATGGCCTGAGCAGGGCAGAGGGCAGTGGGACTATTGCCTCCCTTCGTCTGATCTGAAGGCCTCCCTAAGGCAACCTAAAATTACTTTTAGTCACCATGTTCCAACTCTGCTGGGTTTCAATTATTAACTTAATGGGCTTAGGTAAGTCACCTAACCTTTCTTGGCCTCAGTTTCTCCATTTGTAAAATGAAGATTATAGATTTAGAGAAGGGACCTAAGAAGCCATCAAGTTCAACCCCCCCCCATTTTACAGATGAAGAAACTAAGACTCAGAGAGGTTAAATTACTGCCCAAAGTCACACAGGTGATGGATTAGAATAGCATTCTATTCTAATAGATAGGGTTAGAATCTAGGTGCCCTGGGAAAATCCCCTGACTTCCTCACCAACCTCACAGGGTTGTAGTGAAGATCAAATGAATTAATAGATATAAATGAGGAAAGATTGTGGTCTTCCCCACAATCCAGTTCCTTCTCTCAGGACTGTCTAGGTTACTGCCTGCCTTCAGGCCCTCTCAGATATCAGATGGCAATGAAGGTCTGACCTTGGAAAACTCTCAGAGCAGGGCAGCCCGGAAAGCTGCCTCCCTGGATAGTAACGCTGGCCCTTCACCCCACATTTCAGCAGAGTCTCGAAGGCTGTCTTGACAGAGGTCTGAGAAGCACCAGAAACAAAGGCTAAGAATGAACCACTGTGGGCAGCCCTGTCTTAACACAAATCCAAATTTTCTTTGAAATGTTTATTTTGGTCCAGCTGTGAGAATTTTTCCAGACAAAGAGCCTTGGATGGGCTGCGGAGGGGGACAGACGGTATATAGCTCAGTCAGTCATCGTGCACTTATGCTCTCTGAGCACCAGGAGAATGACAAGACCCAAGAACCCTTCGGCAACATTTATAATCGAGTCTTGAGAAGACAAGATTAGTGGACATGAAACAATCAGAGAAAAATTCAAGACAGCTTAGAGTTTGAGCATCTCAACCTTGGAAGGTTTCCTCAGGGTCATGTGGCCTAGGAGTCATCCAGGATAGCTCCAGGCCTTGTCAGTCAGTCAACGAGTCAATGTGTTGAACATGTCCCAGCCACGGCGCTAAGCGCTGGGGATACAAAGAAAGGCAAATATCCCAGTCCCTGCCCTCAAGGAGCTTATATTCTAATGGGGGAGACAACATAAAAAAAGTATGCACATACTTGATGTCCGGCCGGCAATCTCTGAGGGAAGTGCTTAGCAGTGGGGGAGCAGAACCAGGAAAGGTCTCTTGCAGAAGGTGGGATTTGTGCTGAGTCTCAAAGGGAAAGAAGCCAGGAAAGGCAACAGGCCGAGGCAAGGAGGGGGAGCATTGTTGGAAATGAATTCAGTTCTGTTCCTGGTGCTTTCCTCTGCAAAGAAAGGGAAGTCTGACAAAGGAGCTCATTTTGCCCAGAGAAATAGTTTGCGTAGGCCCATATTGGGTTTGAGGTACCAGCAGCACGTCCAGGTGGGGATTGGAAGGGACCTTGGGGTCGGCCAGACCAATCCTTTCATTTTACAGATGAGGATGTTGAGGCATAGGAAGTTTAAGTGACTTCCCCAAGGTAACACAGGTAGTTAGTGGCAGACCTGGGGATCAAATCCAGGTCCTCTGACTCCAGATCCAGGGCTGTGTCACCTTTTCCATCAGGGAGTTAGAAATGAGGCACTGGACCTCAGGAGACAGGGTTAAACAGGAGATCTCATCTGTGCAATCATTCTCATACAGACTGATAAGGTTGAGAGGTTGGTGAAGATATAGAGAGGTGAGAAGAAGGCCAAGGACAGAGGAGGACAGAAGCAGGAAGAGCAGCCAGTGAAGACTACCGAGGAGATAACAGGAAAGCCAGAGGAACCAAGAAGAGGATCCCTGGGGGGCTGGGGATAGGGGACAGAGCGCTGGCCTTGGAGCAGGGAAGACTTGGATCTTAACCCTTTCTGAGACGCTTGCCGTGTGACCTTGGACCAAAGCACTTGCCCTCTTTGGGCCTCAATTTCCCTGTCTGTAAAATGAGGTGGTTGGACTATATGACCTCTTTGTTGTTGTTGTTGAGTCCCCATTTGGGGTTTTCTTGGCTAAGATACTGGAGTGGTTTGCCATGTCCTTCTCCAGCTCATTTTACAGATGAGGAAACTGAGGCACACAGAGTGAAGTGACTTGCCCAGGGTCACATAGGTAGTAAATGTCTGAGGCTGGATTTGAACTCAGGAAGATGAGTCTTTCTGACTCCAAGTCAAGAGCTCTATCTGCTGTGCCACCTAGCTGCCCTATATGACCTCTAAGGTCCCTTAAAACTCTACATCTATGCTCTAGGGTTGTTTGCATCCTCAGCACCTCGCACAGTACCTGGCACAGAGTGAGCACCTTGTCAATTCTTATGGACTGAGTGCCTATCATATTATGACTATTAAGAACTGGGGGAAGCTTAAAAAGAAAGAGAAGTGAGGAAGGGTAACATGATTGAGTGAGTAGGTGATTGCTTATGACCTTTAAGAAAGGAGCTTAAGTAGAGGAGTAGAAAGCCAGAATGAAAAGGCTTAAGGGATGAAGGAGTGTTGAGCCAGATCAGATGAATGAATGAATGAATGAATAAATGGAAAAATGAATGATGAATGAATGAATGAAAAAGCACTTAGGTGCAAAGTACTGGGGGTACAAAAGCTCTCAAAGAGCTCACACTCAAATGGAGGAGATAAGCAAATAAAAGGTTTCAAGTGTGAGTCAATAGATGGGTTCTTTGGTCCTCAGGGGACAGTGGCAAAGGAGCTAGCAATATAACTTCTTGGATATCTTTTCCACTGATAAAAATCATATCATTTTCTGATAGGACCATCTGACAGTGTGAAAGACATCAGTAGTGAGCACTCACCTGGAAGTGAGTGGCCAGGCTGTATCTGCACTGGGGCTGCTTTCCAGAATGATGGCTGTGAGGGCTGGGCTGGAAGCAGGAGAGGGGGAGGGGAGGTACCAGGAGTATTGTCATTCCCAGGGTCTTGGGCTTACCTGCCAATTCATGGCAGTTAGTTAGTAGTTGGTGGTGGTGAAGAAGGTCATACTATATGAAGATGATTCTGTGATGTTTGGTGGCAAATAGAAAGAAAGACGGACAGAGAGGGAGAGGGAGAGACAGAGACAGAGACAGACAGACAGACAGAGAGAGATACAGAGAGAGATAGAGACAGAGAAAGACAAAGAGAAAGAGACAGAGAGAGAGAATGAGAGAAAGAGGAGAGAGAAGGAGAGAGAGGCAGAGAGAGAGAGAGAGAGAGAGAGAGAGAGAGAGAGAGAGAGAGAGAGAGAGGTGAAGAGGGAAAAAGGATTGTAGCAACAGGGGATGAAAACAGAGCACGAAAGATTATCCTTGGAAAGTAAGAGAGACAAGAGATGATGGATAAAGATACAGAGTGACTTTGAGGTAGAGAGGAGGGTCAGTCCACAAACATTTGCTGAGTGCCTACTCTATGTGCCCAGCACTGTGCTAGGTACTGAGGATAAAAAGACAAAAACAAGGTGGTTCCTGCCCCCAAGGAGCTCAGACTGTATTGGAGACAGCACATACAGAGCAGATATAAGGTAATTGGGGAAGGAGGGAAGGTACTGTCAACTGGAGGCATCTGTAGAGACATTCTGGAGGTGGTGAAGCTTTAAAGGAAACTACGGGTTCCCAGGGGAGGGGGTGGCTTCACTCTTCTCACTGTAAAATATCAGACAAGGTCATCTAATGAACGTGCTGATGGAAGACATTTGGGTCTTTCCTCAGGGTCTGTATTTCTTCTGACTGTCCTTCTTATCTCCCCATGGAAACTCCCAGGTTTTGTCCCTGTTCCCCACTGTTCCCTGGTGACAGATAGATAAGTTCATTTTCTGTAATGGGCTAAGTGTTTTGTACCCAACCAGGAAGCCCAGCTAGACAACCCTTGCCTCCTGAGAGCCCTGCCAAAGAAAGGGGATTTTATATTTTTTTGATGTAACTATAAATCCATGCCATGAAATAGTTGGCCTGTTGGTCAGTCACCAACAGGTCTTGCCTGTCACCATGGGCTAAGGTCTGTCCTGGGCACCACGCAAGGGAAGAAGGCTATAATCTCCTTCTGTTTATCAAAGAGAATGCTTCAGGTGAAGACAGTTTACCAGTGTGCTTCTAGTCTAATAGATCTTAAATGGGATCCCCAAATGTCATTTTTCAGGGCACCCCTCTGACCTTTCCCCAGGCATTGAAGAGGAAGAGTCCAAGAGTGTCTGTGACGTCATGCCCAACATCTCTGATGTGCTGCTTCATAAACTACGAGTTCATAAGGCCCTCCCTGGCAGGTAAAATTCAATGTGGTCTCCAGAAAGCTTGGTGTCAATCCAGTCAGCTCAAAAAGACCTATGGGGTACCACAACATGCCCAGCTCTGTGTTACACTCTTTGTGGGGTACAGAGATAAGTTAGACGCGGTTGCTTCCCTCAAGAAATTGGGGGCGGGGGAGGGGGAGAGAACCACTGAAAACTATGTGAATGAGACCTGGACGGTAATGCGAGTTCTGAGGAGAGAGAAATCACTGTGGGCTAGAATAGTCAGAATAGACTTCCTGGAGGAGGCAACATTTCCTGGTAGGCAGGCCCACTGAGTAGAATTTCCAATTACAGACCAGAAGGTGATTTGGTTAGCATAACATCCGGCCAAAGGAAGCTGGCCTCGCTTCCAAGTTCAGCGCAGTTCCCATTCAGCCTCGCTCTAGAATGAATATCAGGAGAATCTTCTTTTTCTTTCTATATTGAATAGAGACAGTGTGCATGGTAGTGCATAGGAAGTTGGCTTTAAGAGTCAGAAAGACACAGATTCAAGTCCTGACTCTGACACACACTGGCTGTGTGACTGTGGGCTGAGTCACCTAGCTGCTCAATGCCCAAGGCCACTCTCTAAGACCATAAATTGTTTTTTTAAAAAAGTGTTCAACTCTTGGAAGAGAATTCCCTAAATGGATGAAATTACAGCCCACAACCTGGGCAAAACCAAAGAGAATTCAAATTAGGTTGCAACAATTCTCCCCACTAGTCATTAAATGCAAGATTTCCCCTCCTGGTCCATGAATTCAGAAGGCCTTGTTTTGTGTGTTTCTGTCCCTTGTGTCACAGAAGCCAGGATCGTGTATTTATAACTGGAAGGGATCCTCAGAGGCCATCTACAGAAGTTCCCTCCTTTTACAAATGAAGAAACTGAGATCCACAGAGGTTAAATGTCTTGGACAAGGTCACACAGATAGTGGCTGATTCATGATTTGAGCTCAGGTCTATAACTCCATATAAAATATTCCTCCTACTATGCCCTGCTCCCTCTCAGTCCTTTTCAGGAAGATCCTACCCCCTCTAAAAGGCACTTGGTGGCCCTATCAGAGACAGCATATTAAGCTAGAAGGGGCCACAAGAAATTCACATCTTCTTAACTAAGTCACCACATGAAAAAGCTCAAGTGATCTGAAAGTTATTATAGAGCCATAGGGTACTGTGGCCTTGGACTGAAAAGGCCACGACTGTAGTTTGGGAGTGGAACCTCTAGAAAGACAGTGTGCTCTAATGGAAAGAGCACTGTATTTAGACTCAGATGACCTGGTTTCAAATCCTAGCTTTGCCATTAACTACCGGTGAGACCTTCAGCAAGCAGCATGATCCCTTTGGGTCTCAGTTTCCTCATTTGTAAAATGAGGAAGTTGTACCAGATAATCTCTAATGTTCCTTTTGGTTCTAAATATACAGGTTCTAAGACCTAAGATCAGAAAAAAAAAATCTTGAATCTCAATATAATTCTAGGATTGTAACCTTTGAGTGGGTCTTGGTTTTCTCCTCTATGAGATAAATGCGCTGGTCATAGACTTAGAGATTAGATAGGACCTTAGAGGTCCTAGTCTAGACCAATCTCCTTGACTCGCAAGGAGGAAAGCTGGAGCCTAAAGCAGCACAGATCTCTCAAATAAGGCCAGTTTCTTTTGGCCTGATTTTGTACTAACCAGATATTTATTTGGTACACAATTTGTTCTCCAACCCAGTGGTCCTCCCTGCCAGGAAACAACACCTGCCCCTCCATGGAACCTCCTCTGGTGATTCTGGTCCAGAGCGATTTCTCTCTTCTTTGAACTCTTACTGTCCTCATGGACACACTTGTATGTTCAGGATCACACAAGGAGTAAGTAGCTGAACCAAGATTCAAACTTGGATTTAGAGTCTTCTGACTCCAAATATAGTGTTCCTTTCTTTGCTTTCCCCAAGGTCCTCTTCAGCTCTTCTAATTCCTGATGATTCTGACGACCAAATTCTGAAGCTCAGAGAATGGGCTCAGTTTTAAAAATCAAGGGCAGTTATTGGGTTGTTTACAGGCAGCCACAAGAGACCCATTGCTGACAAATCATCCTTCTTTTCTCTGCCTCATTGCCTCGTGGCATGGTCAATCTCAAGTCAGCCCTGGTTTGAATTCAGTTCAGTTCAATTCAATTCAGCAAGCATTATTAAGCATCTACTATGTGCCAGGCACTATGCTAAGTGCTTTGCAAATATTAGCTCATTTGATCCTCATAACAACCCTGAGAGGTAGGTTTTATTGCTATCCCAATTTCAGTTGAGGAAACTGAGGCAAACATAGGTTAAGAGACTTGCCCAGAGTCACACAGCTAGTAAGTGTCTGAAGCTGGATTTGAATTCGGTTCTTCTTGACTCCAAGCCCAAAGCTCTAGCTTATTCTGCCTGGTGGACTCTTCCAACCTTCTCAAGGTTTCTTGTCAATATGGCTGATTGTTAAATGGATCTGAAGGTGGGGGAGGAATTAGCTTAATGTTTCCTCTTTGAAACCAAAGGATTGGGGGCAGCTAGTGGTACAGTGGATAGAGCACTGGATTTAGGAGGACCTGAATTCAAATCCAGCCTCAGACACTAACTAACTGTGTGACCCTGGACAAGTCACTTAACTCTGACTATCTCAAAAGAAAAAAAAAAGAAAGAAATCAAAGGATAGTAGGCTTGGAGCCAGAAAGACTTCAGAGACCATTCATCCAACTCCCTGATTTTAGGGATGAGCAAACTGAGGCCTAGAGGGGATAAATGATTACCCCAAGCTCAGCAGAGTCAGATTCATACTCAGGACTCTTCTCCCTTGTACCAGGCTCCATTTCTGGAGCCGCACTATTTCTTAGCCTTATACTTTGGGTCTGGCTTACCCATGATGTGACCAGACTAGTAGACTCCAGATGAAGAAACTCCCTCTGCCACTGCTGATTGGCAAACCACTTGTAACTTAGGGTCTTTGAGAATTCCTTGGAAGCAGGAAGGGGTTAATTGACTGGCTCACAGCCAGGCAGCTAACATGTTCAAGAGCCTTACCTGAATCCAGGTAGATGTTCCTAAGTCTGACGCTCCATCATCTGTCCATTTATTAGGTAGTGCCCCTCTGGAGTTTGGGCTATTAATTTTTTTAAAAATCTAAATGAAATAAGCAGATGTCAATAGTGGCAGCAGTAAAGGGTAGAAATACAAAGATCCAGATTGGTATGGGATATTTGACAGCCCGAGGGCCACTCCCATGGAAGAAAGCCGACTGAAGAACAAGTCATCTCAGTCTTGGCCAGGGGTGAATCAGCCACCCTGCCCTGCTCTGGCTGCTCACAGAAAGCAGCATCAGGGCAGATTCCCTAATACCTAAACAGGAAGGATCCTGGAGGCCTTCAGTTGGGGTGACCAGCACCCCGCATCACCAGAGAAGGGCTGACCTTGCACCTCTGTCTAGGGTGGCAGAGGAAGCAGGGCTTCCTGAGCATATGATCCTTGATCTTGCTCTGTTACTGGGTGGGGCAAAGCTGTTAGGTCCCCTTGTTCTCCCTCGCTTCCCACCCTCAGTTAAGCCTGCACCACCCCAAGCCAGGAAAGAAAGGGGCCCCAGCTTTATTTACAGAGCCCAGGGATTTTTAACAATGAGCCACTTTCTCACTGCCTCGAGACCAGGAGATAAGACTTGCCTGCTGACTTGGTGGGGGACAAAAGAGCTCCTCCTTGTCCTTGGCCAGTGTTAGACCTTCTGTGCTGATTCAGCCTCCTCCGTTCAGAAGGATGCTGCTGTGTTCCTCCTTGTTCTCTCCCTTTCAGTCTCTCTCAGCCAGAGAGCCGGGGAGACAGGCTAGAGCAGCTTTGGAGGGCTCAGACATGCTCTCATGTGTGTGCCCACCCAGCCCATTGACCCAGGACCAATCAGTCAACAAGCATTTATTAAGTGCCTACTGTGTGTACTGCACTATGCTAGGTACTAGAGACACTAACACAAAAATGTAAAAAAGTCCTTGCCCTTGAGGAATTTCTATTCTATCAGGAGAAAGAGAGGAGGAAAACGTGTGTGTGTGTGTGTGTGTGTGTGTGTGTATGTGTGTGTATAGATACAGAGATATACGAAACAGGTACAAAGTCATTTGGGAGAGAGGCATTGGGGTGGTGGGGAATCAGGAAAGGCTTCATATAGAAGCTTGAAACTTCTTAAATTTGGTATTCCTGACTCTGAGATCTGCCCTCTATTGACTGTGCAGTGTTGCCTCTGGAGCTTTGGCTATTAATTGATTTTTAAAAAATAATTATAGCTAATATTTTTATAGAGCACTTACTATGTGCCAGGCACTGTGTTAAGTGCTTTACAAATATTATCTCATTTGATCCTCGTGACAGCCCTGGGAGATAGGTGCTGTAATTGTCCCCATTTTACAGATGAGGGAACTGAGGCAGGAACAGGTTAAGTGAATTGTCCAAAGTCACATAGCTAGTAAGTTTCTGAGGCCAAATATGGACTCAGGTCTTCCTGCCTCCAGGCCCAGCAATCTAAATCTGGATGGAAAAATCAGATGTAAATAATGGCAGCAGGGAAGGGTAGATATTCTAAGAGGCAGAAGGGAGGAGGGAGAACACTCCAGGCATGCAGGACAACCAGTGCAAGCAAAGGCTTGGAGGTGGAAGAGGGAATACACATCAGCTCTCCATTCTCACCAGCCTGGCATGCTGTAGTCCTCCTCTGAGCAGACCCAGATGGGCTCCCAGGATTAGATATGCAGCCTTTCAGTTACTTTGGAGGTGAAATGATAAGCATCTTTTTCCCCCTTTCTCCTAGTGCTCCTCCACTTACTGAAAAGGAAGTTGAGGTAAGTACCTCACAGTTCTCATGAAAGTCCATCCATATCCAGACTGAACTGACCTGTTCTGCTTCCATGATGCTTTCACACAAGCCCAAGTGTTGGGAAGGGGATATGACATGACCACTTGGGGTCTGTGCACCACAACTCTTGGCAGCCTTCACTAACTTCTGAGAATCTTGTGTCTATTTAGATAGATAGATAGATAGATAGATAGATAGATAGATAGATAGATAGACAGACAGACACATAGGTAGATAGATAGATAACACTAATTGAGGCAAAGGCCATTGGAATCAAGAGCCACTTGAAATTTTCTTCCTTCAAAAATTCCTGAGAAATGAAATTTGGAGCAGAAAGGGAGGCCTTCTTTTTCTATGAGGAAGCTGCAGAGCATGGGATGGTTTAAATGGAATAAAATCAATTCACAAAGAATTAACAAGTGAAGTTTACCTCTGCCTTGCTTTTAAAACTTGAGACTTGGGCTTTAGCTTCCTTGTGTCTGAGGAAAAAGTACTAGGCTGCTGCTGCAGCCCCAGCTCATGTTGCTGACCCCTCCCACAAAGATTTGGTGGAATGTTAAGGGACCTAAAATCAATCAATCGACCAACATTTATTGAGCACCTACTATGTGCCAGGCACTGTAGCCTTGCAAAATACCAATCCAGGGAGGGCAGTCAGTAAACATTTATTGAGAGCCTGCTATGTGCCAGGCATTGTGCCAAGCACTGGGGATACAAAGAAAGGCATGACAGTCCCTGCCCTCAAGGAGCTCACAGTCTAATGGAGGAGACAGCCTGCAACAAGGTAGACACACAAGAATAAACTGAACAGAGGAAACTGGGATGAAGAGAAAAGAGCAGCCTGAGCAGAGATAGTTCTTTCTTGGTGCATCAGAGAGGGGTAGGGAGCAGGAAACCATTCCTCTCCTTTAAGAGACCTTTGTTTTTCTGACCTTCTTTCGTCAGCCTCTCAAAAGCAAAGCACATTCAACTTGGAGAAGAAAGACCCAGCTGATGGCAACATTACTATTTCAAAGCAGAAAATAGAAATCACTTACTGGGCTGAGGAGTTGAGGAAATTAGTGCAAAGAAAGAATGTTATCTCAGCTCCCAAAATGGAGATGAGAGGAGGGGAAATGTGAGAAAATATGTTCATGTATATGTTTGTATTACGTATTTCATGCCAGTGGTAATGCATTTCAAAATATAGTTAATTCTTAATTTACACTAATTTATTGAGGGTGGAGACAGAGATATGAGCAACATGAAAACATTAAAATGCAAAAATCACTTTTACTTCATTTGAAAAGACATCCCAATATGTCTAATATGAATGTATATGTACAGCCTGTATCAGATTACATGCCATCTTAGGGCAGAGAGAAAATTTGGAAGTCAAAATCATATGGAAGTGAATGTTGAAAACTAAAAGTAAATAATTAATATTAAAAAAAAGAAAAGGCATCCCAGGGCTTTGCAGCATATTTACTCATTTAATTGTGTTTCTCTTTGGCAAATATTAAAAAAGAGTTTACCTGCTTTCCCTGGGTGTACAGAAACAGACAGCATGAGGAATTTATAGGACTAAAGATCTAGAACTGGAAATGAACGTCCAGGGCATCTAATCCTCCAATTTTACAGATGAGGAAACTTGCTCAAGGCCTTACCAGTACTAAGTAGCCGAGGGAGGGTTTGAACCCATGTCTTTTAACTCCAAATCAGGCACTCTTTCCATTGGACTGGTTCCCTCTGGAGGCCAGAGAGAAAGCAGCCTGGGGTCCAAAAAGATCCCAAACTGCCATTAGAATAGAGAGTCCACAGGCAAATGGTGGAGAGGGGTTCATCATAGAGAAAGCGGTGCTCAGGCTCCCCAGGGAGAGAATAGTGTGGCCGAGGACTGGGAAGTGTATTCAAGAACAAGCCATCTGGCACTTGTGAAGGTGTGCCCCTGAGCTGTTTGTTTAATAGCCAAAAATCGTCAGCAAAAACCTCAGCGAGGTGAGGTCGTTCAGCCAATTGGGCTGGACTCCTACCCTACCCCAGCCAGCAGCCAGCCGTACATGGCCAACAGAACAGCCTCCTCTCTGTGCATGGAAATGTCCAGTTTTACTGACGTGGTTGTTGGTTTACTCGGATCTGCTACTGATTGACCCAGGGCAGAGCCAATAAGAGGCTGAGAAGATGAAGACCATCACCTTCATTCATTCATTCATTACTAACACATATTTAGCTCCAGCTAGATGGCCCTAAGGGAGATACAAAGATGATCATCATCATTAATAATTAATTATAATAACTGTTAATGTAGTACTTTAAAATTTGCAAAGCTCTTTACGTACATTATCTTTTTTTTTTAATCTTTACAACAGATGAAGAAACTGAGGTTTAAACTACTTGACTGTGGTCCCATGGCTAGTAAGAATCATAGGTAAAATTTGAAGCAGATCTTCCTGGTTCCAACACCAAAACTCTAACCACTATATTATACTGCCTCTCAAGACATAGTCCCTTGCCCCTGAAAGCTCCCAGGCTGGCAGAGAGCTAGGGCACATACAGAGATGAATACAATACAGCCTAGAATGTAAGTATATGAGTAGAGTCCGCGGTATTATGCAGTCAGTGCAGAGAGATCCTACTTCCGCTGAAGAGTTTCCATCTGCCCACGTCTCTTCCCCAGTAGTTTCCTACGTGGGCTTGGACCAGGAAGCCCCTTCTCTGTGATTTCCACCTTTTTAAAGGTCAATCCTGCACTCAGATTTTTGCAACTAATGTTTATACAAAATCCTAATTGAACCTTAGGGGTCTTTAAAAGAAAAGTCTTCTGGCAGCCATTTAAAGTTGCTGTTTGGGCAGAAACTGGGAAATGTGATATGAATGCTGGCTGAAGTCCGTTTTAAATCAACAAGACCTATCCTTCGCACCAGTTTTCCTTAAATATAGTTTCTCCATGTGAAACCCTTTGGCCATAAATCCCCCCCAGCTAATCTAAATTGCTTACATTGGCTCAGCTAAGTACCCCTGGCTTATTCAAACCAAAGTTGCTATCATGGATTTTCTTCAATTCTGTGGAGAGCAAAGCATTTTTTTTTTGGCCAACTTTAGTGAACTGCACTGACTCTCTTTCCCTTCTCTTAAGTCTCCTATGGCCGTGTATTGTTGGTTTTGTGGCTTTCCGATGCTTTTTCATAGGTTCTTAACATCTCAGAGTTGGAAGAAGAGAATTTAGCAATCTTTGGATCACAGACTTAGAGCCAAAAGGGACATAGAAAGCTATGTGGTACAATACCCTCATTGTACAGTAGTGGAAACGGAAGATCACAGAGAGCCAGTGGCCTGGCCAAGGTCACAGAGCCAGTAGCTGGCGAGTCCAAGGGCAAGAGTAGAGACCAGGTCTAATCTGACATTCTTCCCAGAATCTCCTGAAAGGTCCTCAGCCCCACTCATCTCCATTGTCCTGATGTGATGTTTGAAATTCCATTCTCACTATTGGAGGGTAATGCATTAAAGTTGTCTGGGAGGAAGAACAGTTGTGGGTTTTTTTAGTCATTCTCATCCATTAACACTGGCTATGATCTGGTTTACCTCCTTAGCTTTAGAGAACCCCTGTTGGGGGCGTTTTGACAGGCACTTGCGTAGTTTGGTAAGCTGTGTTAATACAAATTCTTGTGGTGGAAAGAACACTGATTTGGAATTAGAGGACCAGTATCCAGATATCAGCTGTGCCACAAACTACCCAAAGTCACTTCTGTTCTCCGGGCCTCAATTTCCTCATCTGTAAAATGGGAGGGTTGGATTAGTTGGTCCCTGACTCCCCATCTGGGTTTCAGATCTACAGAGAAGTCACAAGCTGGACCTTCTAACCTACAGCAGCTCCTCCTCGGCCTTCTCCTCCACTTTTTCTCCCCCTCTATAGAATGTGTTTGTACAACTGTCCTTGGCCTTTCGAAATGACAGCTACACCCTGGAGTCGAGAATTAGCCAGGCTGAGAGGGAAAGGAACCTGACGGAAGAGAACACTGAGAAGGAACTGAACAACTTTAAAGCTTCAATCACGGTGAGGAAGGAGCCTGGCTCTGAGAGTGCCCAAGGGCTGATAGCAACTCCTGCCTGTGGGGAGCAGGGATACTTACTAGTGCTGTGGGAAGGGAATTGTGTGTCTGAGGACCAGGCGAGTTACATAGGGAGGAGGTGAGTGATGGGGACCACCAGGGAGCTAAATTAGAAATTAAGAATTGACTGTATTTGTAACTGGAAGGCAATTAGTTAGTGGGCAGAGGAGAAGGAGATGGCCGATTAGCACATCTGATCATTCAATGAAGAGGCAACGTGACAAAGTAGATGGAGGGCTGCCCTTGAGCCCCGAAAATCTGGCTGATAACCCATCTCTGTCATATGATATGGCTGTGTGACCCCGGGCAAGTTAAACTGCAGAGAAGGTGTCAACCCTGAATTGGTAGCGGGAACTTCCTTCCTCATCTAGGAGTCCCTATATCATAAATTGACAGATGCAGTTATATCCTGTTATCAGCCATCAGGAAGGCAGGCTTGGCTTTACATGGTTTTCCAAGAATATTCTGCCTTCTTTTTAGGAATCCCCAAGAGCAGCCTGAGGGGTGGGATGAGGGAAAGGTTTGCCTAAGTGTTGGTGTGGCTTAATAGTGAGGGTTATGGGCTGAAGTCATCTGTGTAGGTGTGTGTCTTTCAGGCCATTTTTAGTCCCAGATGATGGGGCTAGCTTCTTCTTCTCCCTTGCCTTTTGCCTTCCTTCCCTGGCCACTGGTCACTGTCCAGATGTTTGTTTCTTTTTCATTCGGGGGTTTAAAAAATCTTTTGTCCAGAGTTTTTGGCTGCATAGGAAGCCCCCAGTTCACCCAAAGTGTAGGTGGTGAGTCTGATTAAAGGGCAGGTTGAATCTCTACTGGAAACCACGAGCAGCTTCTCCAGGGCAGGCCCAGAGGCTCTGGTTCAGCCACTAACCAGCAGCTGTGGGATGGAGGAGGGGAAGAGGGGGTACGTAGGAGGAGCATTCAGATCTCCCCCAATCCTGCTTTCCTCCACCCCAACTGTGACTCAGAATGTCCCATCTCTTCCCTCCCATCAGTCCTCAGCATCCATCTGGCAGCCCTGTGAACACCGAGAGACCTATGAGAAACTGCTGGAAGACGTTGCCGTCCTGCATCGCCTGGCCGCTCGCCTCTCCAGCCGTGCTGAGATGGTTGGGGCTGTCCGCCAGGTCAGACCACTGACCTCCCTCCTTCCACCTCCCCTCTCCAGACCCTGTGTGTCTCCAGACATTGCTGGCCCTAAAGGGAGCAGTCAGCCATTCCATCGTGGAGCTATAACCCCTTTGTTGAATCTACTAGCCTATGAAACCATTGCTGGGGCTCAGGGGGCCAGGTATTCCTGAAGGACAGGAAAGGAGAGTGAGCTGCATTGCTCCTCCCTGACCTCGGGTCTCATCCCCAGAGTAAACCGAGTCGGCAAGCAAGTACTGTGCAGGGATACAAAGAAAGGGGCGGGGAAATAGTCCCTTCTAATGGGTGAGACAACATGCAGATAACTATGTACATATGAGATATAGACAGAGTAAAATGGAGGTAATCCCAGAGAGAAGGTGTGGGCAGCAGGAGTAGAGAGGAAAGGCCTCTTATAGAGACAGCTTGGTGAGTCCTAAAGGAAGCTAGGAGGCAGAGGTGAGGAGAGAAAACATTCCAGGCACCAGGAACAGACAGTTGATGAATGGAGTATCATCTTCAAGGAACCTCCAGAAGACCAATGTGAAAACTGAGGCCCAGAGACAGGAAGGAACCCAGGACAGATTGTATATGTGTAATTGGGCTGAATCTAGTGAGATGAAATTTGCGAGGCATAAAGAAATGTCATATCTGGGTCCCGATAATCAGTTTCACATGGCTAGACAGCCTCTGAGAAAAGCTCTGGAGGCTTTTGTTGACTGTTGTAGTGGGATATGGCAGCAAAGAAAGTCAGTGAAATCTGAGGCTACTTTTGGAGACATTGGGCCTTCTCCGTAGCTCACTTGTGTGTGTGTGTATATGTCTCATTTTAGTAGGGCCAATGGTGAGCTTGCCAGAGTCCTGAGGAGACCAGCCAGGATGGGGAAAGGGCTTGAGTTCATGCCATGAGAGTTAATTGAAGAAACTGAAAATGATTTAGGAGGGATGTGGTAGCAATCTTCAAATATTTGGAGGGCTGTCTCATGGAAGAGGTGTTAGATTTATTCAGCTTGACCCTAGGGGGCAGAACCAGGTACAAAGGGTAGGTGGTGTAGCAGCAATGTGGATTTAATATAAGAGGAAACTTCCTACCAATTAAAGCTGTCCCAACGTTAGAATGAGTTTCCTTGAAGGGTAATGAGTTTCCTCTCAGTGGAAATGTTTAAACAAGGACTAAGTGATAGCATGGGTATGAGAGTAAGGGGGATTCTTATTCAGGTGTGGGTTGGACCTCTGAGGTTCTTTTCAGCTCTGAACGTCTGTGGGTTAATGATTAGCTGAGGAAGACGTGTTCTCTGAACTTGCCATCCCATCTCCTGCCCCAGAGGATCCCAGCAGGCCATCCCCCATGCCTGGAAGCCACTCCCTCTTCATCTCTGCCCCTCAGAGCCAGGGTGTTCCTTTTAGGACCAGCTAAGGCACCACCTCCTTCAAAGAGCTTCCCTGATGCCTCCTCTATCTGCTGGTATTCATTCGCTTCCCCCTTAAGTTACCATGTGTCATACTTATATGCGTACTACAGCCCTCCAAGAAAATGGAAGCTTCTTGAGGGCAGAGCTATTCTGTTTTTGCCTTTATAGCATCAATACATAGAACAGTGCCTGGTACACAATAGGTGCTTAATTGTTGTCGAGTTGTTTCAGTCCTCTCTTCATGACCCACTGGGGTTTTCTTGGCAAAGATAGTGGAGTGGTTTACCATTTCCTTCTCCAGCTCATTTTACAGATGAGGAAACTGAGGCAAACAGCATGAAGTGACTTGCCCAGGGTCATACAGATAATAAATGTCTGAGGCTGGATTTGAACTCATGCAGATGAGTCTTCCTGACTGCAGGCCCAGCATTCTATCCCCTGTGCCACCTAAATGGAATTGACTCTCACCTTTCTTGTTGCAAAGGCTAGGCCTCCATTGAAGGTCTGATAGCTCTAATTGATAGGTTTTCTGGCTGCCATGTCATTCTGTTGACTCATATTGAGCTTAAAGTCTGACATTCTTCACTCACTTTAGCTGCTGTTCTCTATGACATCTAGCTTGGCAGATATATAGGGTGTCCCAAAAGTCTTAGTGCAATATTAAGCTCTTAAAACTTGAAACTGCACAAAGGCTTTTGGGCCATCCTTATACTGGCCTGTATGGAAGGACACACTTCCTAAATGGTCTCTGGGGTCCTTCCCACCTCTGACATACTATCCTCCAAGGCCCGTCCCAGCTCTGACAGTCTGTGTCCTATATTCTGAACTCTCCCAGGGTGTTACAGTGCAAAGAGCATTGGACTTAGAATCAGGAGCTCTGGGTTCAAATCCCGCTTTTGCTGTTTACTGCCTATCTGAGTTTAATCAAGTCACTTCAACTAACTGAGACTGTTTCCTCATCTGTAAAATGAGGGAAACTGGATGAAATGATCTCTAAGATTCTTTCTTTCTTTCTTTCTTTCTTTCTTTCTTTCTTTCTTTCTTTCTTTCTTTCTTTCTTTCTTTCTTTCTTTCTTTCTTTCTTTCTTTCTTTCTTTCCTTCTTTCTAAGATTCTTTCCAGTTCTAGATCTGGGCTCCTATGACCCTGCCTCTGGTATTCCGTATCGATCAAGTCTCAGTGGGTCATTTCTTCCCATTGCTTTATCTGTCTTGGTTCCCTAACTTTATTTGCCTCTACTGTCTCTCTTTCCTCTTAGGAAAAGAGGATGTCAAAGGCTGCAGAGGTTATGATGCAGTATGTAGAGAATTTGAAGAGAACATATGAGAAGGACCACGCAGAGCTCATGGAATTTAAGAAACTAGCAAACCAGAATTCAAGTCGAAGCTACGGCCCCTCTGGTAAAACCCTCTGTCACCCAACAGTGTGTATCTCAGGTCCCTGGGGGGTGTGAAACCTGTCCCTGCAGCAGCCAGTCAGGCAGCTGGTACTATGAAGTACCTACTATGTGCTAAAAGCTGCAGATACAAAGAAAGGCAGAATCAGTCACTGCCCTCCGGGAGCTTGCAGTCTAATGAGGGAGGCTGTACACAAACAAACTATAGAAAAAATGGCTATGGAGTCATCTGGAAGGGAAAGCACCAAGGTTGGAAAAGAGTTCTTGCAGAAGGCAGGACTTTTGCTAGGGAAAGCCAGGAGGCAGAGATGAGCAGGAGAACAGTGGATGAAGACACAGAGTTGGGGAGGAAGTATCTTGTTCCAGGAACAGCCAGAGGCCATTGTCATGGGACTGAAGAGCTTGGGGAGGGCAGTAAGGGATAAGGAGGCTGGCAAGGTAGGAAGGCTGTGAAGGGCTGTCCAAGCCAACCAGAGCATCTTATATTTGATGCTGGAGGTAATTGGGGCAGGGAAGGGGGACCCAGGGCTTATTAAATTGGGAGGGGGGCAGAAATAGGGACAGACCTGCATCTTAGGAAGGTCAGTTTGACAGCTGAGTGAAGCAAGGTAATCTGGGAAAGACTCGAGGCAAGGAAACCAATCAACAGACCATGAAAGTAGTCTAGGTGTGAGGTGATGAGGGCAGCTGGGTGGTACAGTGGGTAGAGCACCAGGCCTGGAGTCAGGAGGACCTGAATTCAAATGTGGTCTCAGACACTCACTAGCTTTGTGATCCTAAACAAGTCACTTAACCCCATATGCCTCAGTCTCCCCATTTGTAAAATGAGCTAGAGAAGGAAATAGAAAAGCCACTTCAGTTTCTTTGTAACAACAAAGCAAAACAAAACAAAGCCCAAATGGGGTCACAGAAATTTGGACATGACTGAAAAACAGCTAAACACCATTCTGTAAATTGGATCAGATAGCCTCATAGATCCTTTCCACCTCTAAATCTCTGACCCGGTGACTCCACCCACCAGCTGGCAGCAGATAGGGGGAGGCCAGAAGGGTGTTTAGAGTCAGAAGAACTCCATGGGATCGAAAGCATTGGGCAGAACGTGCAAAGAGCAGAGAATGTGCCCCAGGTAAGTAAGCAGCAACTACTAAGGAAATGCTGAGGGACTTTATTGCAGTTTCACTCAGCAAACATTTATTTATTTAAGCACCTGCTGGGTTATCCTGTGGGTCGGTGCAGACAGAAGTACAGGATCAATAAGACACAGCCCTGCCCTCAGGCAGCTCACAGTCTTGGAGAAAGGAAATGAGGTGTGCACATAGATGGATGGAATAGAAGTTAGCACATTGTAAACCCAGAAGTGTACTCTAGAATACCTTGAGATCAGATGGTGCACCTCTGGCAGCTGGGGCAGCAGCAGTTTTCTGCTGGACGTGTCATCAGAGTGGAGTGTAGAAGGTTGGGTGGGAGAGCGGCAGGTAGAGATAGTGGCCAGAAAGGCCATTCCAGGCCCAGAGAAGAATAGGAGACGTTGCAGGAAATGTCTGGAGGGCGGGCAGTCTGGATGAAGCCCAAAGTTTGTGAGCAGGGGAAGGAGAGTACATTAAATCTGGAAAAACTGGGGCCTGATAGGATGCAGACATCCTGAAAAACGACCTTGTTTACTCCATATATTTTGTTGATTAAAATCCAATACTTACAACCTGGAACCAAAGAGGTGATGGAGAAAACAGTGAACAGCCGCTCAGCATCTACCCCGGGGGAGCAGAGATTATACAACAAGTTTAGCAGTCCACGACTTACTATCTTAGACAATGGCCTGATTCTCAGAGGAGTTAAGGGAATCATTGCCCGTGGGCACACAACTGGTCACACTGTTAGAGGCGAGATTTGAATCCAGTTTTTTTTCTTTAACTCTCAGTGCAGAAGCCTATGCACTGTACCACATGTTGCAATAGAGGCTGATCAACACTAATAATGTGAAAGTGAAAAGGCCTCCAGGTTCCCAAGGCTGAGTTCAGGTGTGTCTCTGTGACTGGTTATAAAATATATGGTCTAAGTCTGATCTGTTAATCCACTGGCTTTCTCACATGAGAGGTGATAAAGCCAAATTACAAGAAAATTGCCAAAGTTACCATTTTGATGCATGAATTTTTACTAATGAATCAGAGGGGAGTAATGGGACTTGGCATATTTTAATGCCAGTGTTATCTCTCCTTGACTTACCATTTCTGCTAAAAGAGCCCAGACAGAGTAATCTCTGTGTTCATGGTTGTTACTGCCATGATGAGATAATATAAGGCTGTGATGTATACTCACAATGATAAGTCTGGATTAGTAGAAATATGATGTGATGTCTAGTTGTTTTTCAGTTATGTGTGATTCTTTGTGATCCCTTTTGGGGTTTTCTTGGTAAAGATACTAGAGTGGTTTGCCATTTCCTTCTCTAGCTCATTTTACAGATGAGGAGACTGAGACAAACCAGGTTAAGTGACTTGCCCAGGGTCACACAGCTAATAAGTGTCTGAGGCTGGATTTGAACTCAGGAAGAGGAGTCTTCCTGACTCCAGGCCCAGCACTTTATCTACCGCACCACCTAGTAGAAATAGAAGGCCCAGAAAAAGAGGAATGATAGTCCTTCTGTCCTCTGCCCTGCTCAGACCATGGGCTGGAGTGTTGTGTTCAGGCATTGACAGCCTAGAATGTGTCCAGGAGAGGTCAGCCAGGCAGTGAATTCCCTAACACTGAAAGTATTCAGGTGTATGAGCATATGTCAGGGATATGGTACAGTGGGCATCTGTGGGTGCATTAGATGGCATCTGATGTCCTTTCCAGCTCAGAGATTTTATTATTCTAAGAGTGAGAACACTGGATGAAAATAAGCCTTGACCCTAATAATAATGGCTAGACCTGTTATAATGTAATATGTATAATAATTGCTATAATAATTGTTTTACACAGCGCTTTAAGGTTTGCAAATCACTTTAATTATGTTCTCTGGTCAATCCTTACAATAACCCTGCAAGCAGGCGCTATTACCCTCATTTTAAAGATGAGGAAGCTGAGTCAGAGAGGTGAAGTCTCTCAGGATCACACAAGTACCCACGGTCACACAAATGCCCCAGGCAGGATTTGAACTCAGACCCTCTTGAATCCAAATCCAATGCTCTATCCGCTGTATATCCACCTAGCTGTCCCTACATAGCTGACTAGCTGTTTCTGCCTGGTGTCTCCTCATTTCACTTTCAGGCCAGTTGCTACAGTCATCAGAAATTGTTTCCCAGCAAGTAATGCCCGTGCCAGAGAGAACTAGAGCTCTGGCTATTGAGAGATAAACAGCACGAGAAAATGGACCTTTTCAAGTCCACAATTCCTGGATATTGCAAACATCCTTAGTTACAAAGAGCTGGAGGAGGGGGGAATGCAGAAAGCATGTCCCAGATGGAGAGATCTTTATAAACAGAACACTCAGATAGTTTTCTGGGGAGTATCAACAGCTTTTTTTCCAAAACGAAGGTAGAAATGCACAAAGCTGTTTTGGCTCAGGCTTAGGAAATGAGGGTCCTAAAATGCACGGGCTTAGCTAACAGCTAGCTCGCTGCCAATGTTTGGAGTTGGGAGAGTGAGTTAATTCAGTTCTTAATCTCAACACACAGAAACCCAGTCCAACATTCCTTAAACCTAACCACGGTGCTTATTGACAAGATGTGAACCACCCCACCCAGAGAGGATACAAGGATACATATGCCAATCAGCTTCACCAGCCACTAAATGTCTGGCTTCTAATAGGCAAATTATAGACATGGTCATTTTAGAGAAACTGCTGTGTCCAAACTTCAGGCTTAGCACAGTTCTGGTCCATTATAGGTGCTTAATAGATGCTTGTTGACTTGACAGGGTTGGTCTGAGTGGACACAGCAGTTAGGTGTAGCATTGTTTTATAGTCAGAAGGGCAAGGAAGACTAGACTAGAGCCTTTATTCAGATGTTCCATTGCAGAGCAAGATTTAAGTGAGGGCTGTGCAAAGTCACCAGCCTCACTTTCTCCTCCGGAGCCATCTGGGTCCAGTGGCAAGATACAGATAAGGATGACTAGAGATGGCCCTGGATGCCATGGGAGACATTAGCCTTTTTAAGCTAAGGTCTTTAACAGGTCTCAGTTTGAATGAAGCAACACCCATTCAGTGACTAAGGCTAGGTAAGAAATAGGCAGAGAATGGCCTCTTTTACCTAGTCCAAAAAAAAAAAAATCAGTCTGGGAGGGGAATACCCTCAGGGTTTCTGGCCCTAAGTAGCAATTGTTTCCTAGGGCTAGAAGATCCTAAGCACCTTGCAAACACCAAATCTTGAGTAATCCAGCTAAGGATGCACAGAGAGATTGGTAGAATTGCTTTGGCCCCAGAGGTTATATTTCTGGATTCTAGTTGTTTCTGTTTACCTGTCCCCTCTCTGACCAGCCTTCATCAGAGAGTTGCTGTGAACTACTTGGGTGTTCACATACCTGCCCTTTACCATAGGTTATCTGGGAACCAATTTGCTGGGACCCAGGAGAATCAGGATGGGCAAACACCCAAATGTCTCCCTATGTGTCCAGGTCTCCCTAGCTGCTTCCCCACCTCCTCCAAACTGTACCTGGGATAGGATGTGTGTATGTAAGGATACTTTGTGAATGTGTTTATATAATAATTTTAGACAAATACTCTGACAGCATTTCCTTCATTGAGGCAGCTTGGTGGTACAGTGGATAGGTTGTGTGAATGGGACTAGAAATTAGAAAGACTTGAATTTGAACTCTGCCTCAGATACTTACTAGCTGTGTGACCCTGGGCAAGCCATGTCAGCCTCATCTATAAAATGGGAATAAGAATGGCACCTACTTCACAGTTGTTGAAAGGATCAAATGAGGTAACTTATGTAAAGCTCTTTGCAAACTTTAGAGCACTGTTATCACCATCATCATCATCATCATCATCATCATTATCATCATAGTCATCATCATCACTGTCATCATTATTATCATTCCACACCCATTTTGTCAAGCATCCCTGACGTCAACATTTATTAAGCACCTTCTACATGGAAAGACTTGTTCTAAGCTCATATAAATAAGGCATGGTCCCTGCCCTCATAGAAGTTATACTCTAAGAGTAAGAATAAAACACATTCACAAAAAACTGTGATACAAAATCAAATTTGTGATAAATAGATATAAACATGATAAATGCTTTGTGCTTAGTAGGCACCTAATAAATGCTTTTTTAAATTGGGCTGGGCCTTAGAAAACAGGCATATGGAGCTAACTAGTGCTGGACCTGAAGTCAGGAAGATCCTAGTTCAAGTCTGGCCTCAGATAATTACTAGCTATGTAACCCTGGACAAGTCATTCAAATGCTATTTGCCTCAGTTTCCTTATCTGTAAAATGGGGATAATAATAGCACCTACCTCCCAGGGTTGTTGTAAGGATAAGTTGTAAGGATATTAATACTAGCTGTCATTGTTATTGCTATTATTATTATTATTATTATTATTATTATTATTATTATTATTATTATATGCAGTCTGTGACCAGGGCCATCCTGGAAGCTTTCCCAAACTTGGTAGGACCACTGACTTATGATCTGTTAGCAAAAGCCTGCAAGATGTGTGATGAGAACATTACTAGACAGACGAGTGGTAGGGCAGGCAGGAAAATGATTGGTGATGCTACTCCATAGTGGAGTAAGGCGATTTAAGAGTCCAAAACTCCGGGCTCCAGAAATGTCTCCAACCAAAAAACTCAAGAAGCATTTATCAGGCACCTATTACAGGCCAGGCACTGTGCTAAGTGCTGGCATATAAAGAAAAAGCAAAAATAGTCCCAGCCCTTAAGGAGCTTACATTCTAATTGAGGGATGCAACATTCATCCAAGATAATACAGAGTAAATGGAAGGTAACCTTAGCGGGGGAGGCTCTAACAGCCAGAGAGACCAGGAATATCTTCCTACAGCAGACTTTTGAGCTGAATCCTGAAGGGAGGCAGATTGGCATAGGTGGAGGTAAGGCCATGGAAGGGGCCCAAGATATCATTTCAGGATGTCCCTACGCTCACACCAGGCTTCACAAAGGGCTGAGCCAGGAACCTTCGGGGTCTTTAGACAGTTCCTAGCACTTTCCTGAATCTGATCACAAGTGATTGACAATGTTCTTCTCTGTCTCTTCTCGTTGCTGCAGAGGATGGAGTCTCTCGCGCCACCAGGTCCATGTCCCTCAGTCTGGGAAAGGTAGGCTGCCTGCAAAGAGGTGGGGGGAAGGTGGAGTGGGAGTAGAGAATTGGGAGTTACTTAGTAGGGGCTCCATCATAACCTAATAATAACCGTAATCAGGAGGGAAAACCACCTATAAAAACAAGTTAACTGTCACTCACATCTTGGGTGACCTTGAACCTTTAATCTTTCTCTGACACAGTGTCCTCATCTACAAATAGGAAGCCCTGAAACTTCCCTACAGAAGGACAGCTAAGTGGTACAGTAAATAGAGTGCCAGGCCTAGAGTCAGAAAGATCTAAGTTCAAATCTAGCCTCAGACACTTAGTAGCTGTGTGACCCTGGGCAGGTTCCTTAACTTCTGTATGCCTCAGTTTCCTCAACTGTAAAATGGGGATAAATGGGCACCTACCTCCCAGGGGTGTTGTGAGGATCAAATAATATTTGTAAAGCACTTAGTGCAGTGCTGGCATATAATAGGTACTTAATAAATACTTGTTTCCTTCCTGCATGCTTACAGGATATGTGTGAGGACTCATTGGTATCCAAAAGCCCCTTCGTGAAATTAAGGATCCCCTGGGGGGGGATCGCAGAAATCTTAGAGGCCATTGACTCCAGTCCCCTCATTTTACAGATGAGGAAATTCCTGCAGCTAGTACGAGTCTAACTAAGTGGGATTTGAACCCAGGTGGGAGATTTCAGTTCAAAATTAGGGAAAACTTCTAATACTTAGAGCCCTCAGATGGAACGTGTGGCCTTTTAAAGGGGATGATCCCCAGTCAGGGGTGCTACAGAGGAAAGTCTTGCTTCAAGCAGGAAGGCAGACCTCAGAGGGCCCTTCCAACTTTTAAGAATTCATATTTCTAATCAAAAAGGCCCCCAATATGGAAATCTATCTTACCCTACAGGAAAATAGGGGGGAAGGGAACAAGAGAGTAGGAAGATGATAGAGGGGAGGGCATATTGGGAGAGGGGGTAATCAGAAGCAAACACTTGTGAAAAGGGACAGGGTCAAAAGAAAGAATAGAATAAACAGGGGGTGGGATAGGATGAAGGGAAATAGAGTTCGTTTTTCACAATGTGACTACTATGGAAGCGTTTTGCATAACTGCACATGTATAACCTGTATTGAGTTGTTTGCCTTTTCAGTGATGGTGGGTGGGGAAGGAGGAAGGGAGAAAATTTGGAACCTAAAGTTTTAAAAACACATGTTTAAAAAAGAATGTTTTCACATGCAACTGGGAAATAAGAAATATAGGAAATGGGGTGCAGAAATCTATCCTGCCCTACAGGAAAATAGAAGGGGAAGGGAATAAGAGAAGGAGGGGAGGAGAGACAGAAGGGAGGGCAGACTAGGGGAAGGGGTATTCAGAATGCATGCCACCTTGGGGTGGGGGAGGGGCAAGATGGGGTGAAAATTTGGAACTCAAAATCTTGTGGAAGTGAATGTTTAAAAACTAAAAATAAATAATTTTTTTAAAAGACCCCCAAACCCTTTTTCTCATAGAATCCTAGGACAGTAGAGGAGGGCAGAACTTTTAACCACCATCTGGCTCAACCCACACCCACCACCTTTTTATAGATAGAGAAACTGAGGCTGAGAGTGATTCTGTGTGCAGAAGACTAACTGCATCTGTTCTCTTACATGAAAAATCTCTATTCCACCCTCTTGGTTTTTGTCAGTTTCCTAAAGTTGTGATTTTCCCAGAAGACTCTGGTCTAAGAATGAGTTCCCCAGGACACACAGCTGTAGAGCTTCTCTGTTAATGTGGAACAATCTCTGATTCCCCTGATGTACACACACACCCCTCCCCTCTCCCTGTTTTCATCATTTATGACAACTACCATTGTCCCACTGAGGATGGCTGGGCTCAAGGCCTTCCTGTTAATAAACGCTTTTCTTCCTGCAGAACATGCCCCGTCGGAGGGTCAGTGTGGCCGTGGTCCCCAAGTTTAATGCTCTGAACATTCCTGGCCAGTCTTCCAGCACATCACCCATCCCATCCTTACCAGCCCTGGTGAGTATGAGTAGGGGAATGATGGTGGCCCAGAAGGAGGCCTTGGGATCACTGGAAGAAAGACCTCCAGGGGCAGAAGAGAAGCCACAGGAAACAGAGTGTGCTCAGCATGGGCTCTTAACTCATTCATTCATTCAGCAGACAATCACAGAGCATCTTCTGTTGTTGACTTATGTAAAGATGTTGAGGCCTTGAATTTTGGCTTGAATTTTACATTTTAAAACACAATTATTTATAGTTCATTCTGCATAATTCAGAGGCAAACTTGAAATAAAGGATAGACAGCTGGCCTTGGGTTCGAATCCTGCCCCAATACATTCTGGCCACATAACCCTGGACCAGATGCTTAACTTCATGCCTTAGGCAATTCTCCAAGGCTCTAAGTTGCACTGAAGGCGCTGGCCTGCATTGGCAGAGCAAGCTTCCATATCTGCGAGCTTCCTTCATCAACGACATCACAGGTCTAGTCCCTCTCTCTATGGGCAATATAGGCATATTCCTAGCCAATATTATTTCTCAAAGAAGAAACAGAAGAATTCATGTAGCTTCAGACCCTTTTGGGGAAAAAAAGACCAAATCTCATTGCAAAGAAGATTTCTCTATAACAAACTATTTCTACATCCCACCTCTGTGTGTCTTTCTTGCTCTCTCTTTCTCTGAGTCTCTTTCTCTGTCTCTCTTTTTCTCTCTCTGTTTCTCTGTGCCTTTCTCCATCTCTGTGTGTGTCTGACTCCCACTATCTCTGTCTCTCTTTCTCACTCTCTCTGTACCTCTGTCTTTTTCTCTCTCTGCTTCTCTGTCTCTCTGTGTGTGTGTCTCTGTGTTTGTCTGTCTGTCTGTCTCCTCTTTTTGTCTCTCCTCTCTCTCTGTCTCTATCTTCCTGGGGGGGGGGGGAAGAGCATGCCTGCTGTTTGTATTATAATCAAGGAGAACAGGGCTATAGCTGAGTTCTGTTCACAGCTCTAGTGTTCTGCCAAACAGGAGCAGGGATCCTTTGACTCCTCTTCCCCTCCTTTGCCCTGATTCAAACCTGTTGTGACACCATGAGTCTCAGTTACACCAAACGCCCAAGCCACGGACAAAATAAAGCCATCCACATGGAGTCTGGAGTATAGAGGCAAAAAGGGGACCACAGGCACAGGACACTCTGACCACCCCCTCTTTTAAAACCGTATTGTTTTTAGAGCCCCCCTTTTTTCACTTCTAGCTCTTTTATCTCCAGGCTGGAAAAGCGGGTTTCCCAGCACCATGCTGACTCAGAGAGTTCCATTACAACAAAACAGCGTGGACGTCCTCTGAGTTCACTCTAAGTAGGATTTGACTTGCTAGAGCTCTGAGCAGTATTTGATAGTAATAATAGCGCACTGGTGTGCCTTCTGCCTAACAAATGCACAAAGCATGACATGGTCTGGGGTTAGGGCTGCCCTCTGAAAACAGAGGATAGGCAACTGGATTCCGTTGAAAGGACCTCCAACTTTCAAGCTCTTAGAGCTAAACGGATAGAGAGGAGGCAGTGAAAGGAAGCAAGTCGACCTCACTGTGCTTCCATCCCTCCACCCCGTAAAAAAAAGTGACACACACACCCCTCACACTGAAAAGGACAGAGAAAGGCCCAAGGGAATCTGGAATAATAGCTCAGGAGCCTGGGTGACTCTTGGGAGTGCAGGACATCTCAGGAACTCACTTGTCTAAATATGCACGTAGAATATACTGGTCCACCTGCATGTTTTGCTCTGATTTATTTAAGGAATTGAAAGATTTATCTTATTTTCTCTACAGGCTGAATCAACAAATGGGAAAGGAAACCCCTCAGCTTCCCTGGCTCTACCAGCACTATTAGAGAAGTAAGTTTTCTGGTTTGACTTTTCACCTTGAGGTTGTCTAGGAAACCTGCTTTGGTCAGTTGGATATCGATCTGTCTTTCTGTACTATTTCTCTCTCCCTCCTCCCTCACCTCTTCCATCTTTCTCTAACCTCTCCTTCTCTCCCATCTCACCACTTTGACCCATTTTCTTCCCTCCCCCCATTCCAACACATATCATCCTTCTCCTTTGTCCCTTCCTCTATATACTTTCCATCCCCTCCATCTCCTTTTACTTCTTTCCTTCTCTTCTTCTCCTTCCCTCCCTGTCCTCTACTTCTCTTTTTTCCCTCTCTCCATCTCTCTCCATCTTTCCCCTTTCTCTCTCTTCCTCCCCCATCCACTCTCTTTTCTCTTTCTCTTTTCCCTCTCTCCCTTCTTCCTCCTCCTCATCTCTTCTCTTTCCTGGCTCCACTCTCCCCTTACTTTTTTCCTCTCCTTTTCTCCCCTTTCCCTCTCCTCTCTCCTCTTCTTTTACCTCCTTCATATTCTTTCTTCCCTTCCCCCTCTCCTCCATCCCTTTGCCTTTCTCCTTCTGTCCTGTTTCTTTCCTTATTTTTCCTTTTCTTCCTCCTTTCCCCAACTCCTACCCTCAAGGCCATTTCCATCACCAGGAAAAAAAAATGAGATTTGAATTTAACTGAACTTTTATGGGAAATGGTTTATTTGTCCCTCTAGGGTCCAGGAGGATGTGGTTTGATCCATGCTGCTGCAGTTTATAAAATTATGAAGAAAATACGTTGAATCAAAATGTACCAATCTGAGAAAGTCCTGGCTTCGCTTGAGAAAGTTTCCTACTTCAGGCTTCTGTGCCCCATGCATTTCTTTCCATTTTAAGCCAGAAAAGCTAGTCGACAGGACCCATTCCTGTGATGCAGAGATGTGCACGACCCAAGTAGATCATTTGTTTTGCAGAACCTTTCTCCACCTGGCTAAAGACCCAGCCCTTATAAAGGTTTCTGTTCCCCTATTATCTGGAAATGTTGCCTCCTATACAACTGAGGAAAATAGGTTTGTTTGTTTTAAAGTCATTTACTCTTTCTTTGAAGAATCATCAATTTAATTTTTCTTAGTAGAGCACAACAACATAGATCCAGAACTGGAAGGGACCCGAAAAGCTACTCTAATCCAAGCCCCTCATTCTACAGAGAGAGAAAAACCGAGCACTAGAGAGACGGATTGCCCCAAGTTATGCAGATTTTAAGTGGTAAAGCCAATCAGAGAGAACCCAAGCCAGAGAGAAAGACAGAGACAGAGAGACAGAGAAGGGGAGGGAGGGCTTCACAGTGACCTCTGAGGTCCCTTCTAGCTCTGAAATTCTACAATTTTGTAATTCTCAATGAAGCACAGAAGCCAAGGGGAGGAATGCCATGTATATTCCCTAAAGGTACATAATATTAAAGTCTTGTAAAAGCCTTATAAGACATTTTTCCCATTACTTGCTGGACTGGTCTTGGGTAGGCTCATATTTACCTTACTATCACATTTCCTGAGCACACACAGATGGGGAGAGGAAGGGCAATAGTCAGGTGTGTGAAAAGTCAGGATAAGACTTGGATATTGCCATGGAGAGTAAACAAAGTCGAGAGTTGAAGGGCTGAGTGCACGGATTATCTTAGAGATAAGATCCAGAATTTTCCCTCTCTGGCTGGATCCTAGATCATCAGCCATCACAGCCACAACAAACCCTTTCCTTCTCATCTGAAAAAGATGTGTGGGTTTTAGTGAATTATAAGCCCAGTATGTGTTATGAGTGTGATGAGGTGGCCTAAAAAGCAAATGTGGTCTTGGAATGCATTAAGAAAGCCATATGACATCCAGAAATAGGGAGGGGAATTGTCCCTCTGTACTCTGCCCTGGTCAGACCACACCTGGAGTACTTTGTTCGCATTTGAAAACTACATTTTAGGAAGAACCACCAAGGGCTGGATGACTGATGGCTTTGTTGGCATGTTCTAGATGGGACTCGTGTGGTACAGGTTGGATTATATGGTCTCTGAGGTCCCTTCCAACTTTGAGGTTCTGTGTTTTTAAAATAGAATTTTACTAAACAGAGTGAAGGGGAGGAAACTCAGGATACCCAGAGAAGGGAAGGGACTTGTCCAAGGTCACATAGTAAATTAATGACAGAGCAAACAAGAGGAGGTATCTGTACTCCCAGTCCAGCCATGGAATCTTCCATTGTACCCCATTGCCTCCAGCAAATACCAGGAATTCAGTTTTACCAGGTCAGATCAAAATTACATTTCATTTAGCCAAAGGTATTTGCAACACTTGCAAAGCAAAGACTGGATATATAACAATCTTTAAGATTGTTCAAAATCAAAACAGAATCACTCACCTGCTCAAAAATTCCTACAGGAATTTCCTTATTACCTTAATAGGGTCTCCCTGTTAGCTCTAGGACAAAATACAAACTGTCCTTAAGAATCTGGCTCCAACCTATTTTTCCAGACTTATTTTCTATTACTGGAAGGAGTAAAAGACGAGGTAACATTTCAGAGCTCCACAGAGTCATCAGACCAAGGTATTATTTTGTTATTTTTATGATGGCACCTAAAATTTCTTCAACTTTGATTTTTAAAGCAGTCCATACAAAAAGACCTCCAAAGTTACCCATATGTTTACATTGAATAGGAGATTGTTGGAGAAAGAATAGTTAAAATTATCTCATACCCTCAAGAGAGTTCTTGACACAACTCGAAACTCATAGCATGGGTGAAAAAAGCTCCTATGAAAGTTCCCTTAGCCCAGGGCCCCCACGAACACAGTTCTCTAATCAATACAGCTCAATCCAATCCAATTCCATCCCACAAGTGTTTTAAGCAATTATTCTTTGAAATACACAAAGATACAAAGATAAAATGATGTCAGTTGGTTTATATACCATCAGGGCAAACAACATGTAAACAGATGGCAATTTGAGAAAGAGGGAAGAAGGACAAGATATCCATGGGCATAGTGCAAAGAAAACAGGCTGTAGGGTCAAAGAACCAGGTTCAAATCCTGTCTCTGGTGCCTACTATTTGTTTCACCTTGGGCACATCACTTGACCCCTGTGGCCCTAAGTTTCCACATTTGTAAAATGAGGGTTGAACCGAATGGCCTTTGAGGTCTCTTCCAGTTCTAGACCTATGACCCTGTGGACAAGGGGGATCCAGAAAGACTTCCTGTGGGGGGATACAGCAGGTGACCTAAGCCTGGACAGAACCTGAGGAGTTTGCATTTTGTCCTAGAGGTGATAGGGAGTCATGGACATTTCTTGAGCAAAGGTGATATCTGGGATGTCTGCAGCCTTGGCATTGGGCATGATCTGAAGGAAACACTGCTGGGAAGGCTGGTCTGAACTTAAGAAAGGAAAAGTTGTTGAAGTAGAGTGAACCTCTTCAGTCACTTTGTATTATCTTCTGCTGCCTGGGGTGACCATGCACAGAATCACCTTCCAACAGAGCGTTGGAGTGGAAGTCCCAGGGACAGGAGTAAGAGTCGAGCGCCCCAACATGCAAGCATCCTGATAGCTTCAGACTTGAAATAACACGAGCCTGGTGTCATTCAGTCCTTCCAAAAGTAAAACACTCAGGGGTTTCCAGGGGAGAGCCAAAGACAATCCCATTGACCAATTGTCTGCATTTGGGTTCTCCATTGTAATCTCAGGCTGTCCCTCAGCTCCCACATGACAGTTCTGCACTTGAGAAGCCTGCAGGCCACTGGTTCCCAGAGAATAGACATTCTAAGGATAATAGCCTGCTGACATTCATTGAAAAGGGACCCAATAGAGGATGCGAGATAACTTTTATTTCAAGCATTGAGTTCTTTCCCAGCTGGCCCTCATGGGCTATTATTAGAATGCTTCATATTACTATTATCTCCCTAAAGTCTCCATGAAATCTTAGGCACACACTGTGATGGAAGGAACATTCTATTGGAAGTTAGGAATCCCATCTCTACCACTGATTGACCAGCCAGAAACTCAAACTCAGGTCTTTGAATTCCAAGCCTAGCACTCTGCCACCATGCTGCCTGCCTTAGGAAAACCCTGTATGAATAGGCACCAAAGGGTAATTCATCTCTTGGGAAGTGTTGAAGAACTGTAGAACTGACAGGGTGTATAGTGTGTAAAGCACTACCCTTGGAGTCAGGAAGACTTGGTTTTGAATCCTGCCTGGCACACTTATAAGCTTTGTGACCTTGGGCAAGTCACTTAACCTCTGTTAGCCTCAGTTTCCTCATCTATAAAGTGGGGACAATAATAGTACCCACCTCACAGGGTAATGATTGATTACATATCCAGATAATTATGTATTATATAATTCTGTAATGTATTTATTATTAATAGTTATATATTAATGTTATTAATTATATAATATATATAGATAAAGACACATACAGATAATGTGTCAAGTTCCATGTAAACTTTAAAGTACTGTGTAAATATTAGTTGTTATTATTAAACAAATCCTATGAAATAGAGTTCTTAAGAGTGTCAAGCATCAAAAGGGTCTGGGGGGGGGAGTAAGTGCTCACTTTATTCTCTAGGCAGTCAGTGTCTTGAGTTTTAGAAGTGGGCCAGTGAAGGAGGAATAAACCTTGGAAAAGAAATCCAGCAGTCCTTCACTCACCCTAACTCATTGCATACAGTGCATGGTTTCTTGAGGAAATGATGCAAATCAGATTTCTGTAAACTGAATTATGTCATACATAAACTCATTGTCTGGCTCCCTTCTAGCCCTGCTTAGTGGCAAATCCTTTTCTAATTCAAATAATGACTCCTTCAGTTATCTGTTTCCTAATTCTGCCTTGTTGTCTGTCCGGTTTTCTTAAAATAGTGCACCACAGATTCTGTTACTGTCAGGCTTCATTTTAGACTCACCACCCTTCCTTTTAAAATTAAGTAACCTCTGAGATGAACAGAGACAAAAGATAGCAAAGATATAGCTCTGACTTCTAATTTCTAGTAAGTGTACTTTATAAAGCCATTACTTACACTGTTATTCTCAGCCATCAAATTTTTCTGTTGTGATAAATGTACCTTCAGGACAAGGAAGGTTCACTGTAGGGAAAGAGAGTAAACAGGTAAGGGAGGAAACGTTGTGAGTACCTGGTATTTTCCGTGTGTTTTCTCTCTTATTCTAGTGTCCAGGTACCATCCTAATGAAATGTAAATTTTAGGAGGTGATGAGTAGCACAGGAGATGGGGAGTTGATGCCAAGGACAGGCAGAAGTGTTTAATGCAGCAGGGGATGCTTGCGAGGACCAGCTGCCATGTGGTGTTTTTCAAACAAGACCAGCTTTGAAGCCCTGCTTGTACTTTTGTCTGTTTTGTGAGTTCCCTACAGTGGTATATTCTGATGGGGTTTCACCCTCCAGGGGGGTTGCAGGGACCTTTTAAAGGTGACATGGAGGCCCCAATTCCAGTATTCCCAAAAGTTATTTCCTGGGGATGGCAGCAGACAATGGAGCCTGTTGTGATGGGGGTAAACTCATTTATCCAACAACTGGACCATCTGTGCCATCCCTTCCTCTCTTTGGCTATTAATTTCCATCCTGATTCTCTTGAATATGCCATAGGATGTAGAGCCCTGAAGGGCCTTAGAGACTTCTAAACCAATTCAATTCAGTGAATGGTCATTGAGCACCTGCTGCAGTGAATAGACCACCAGTTCTGGAGTCAGGAAGGCCTGAGTTCACATCCAGCCTCAGACACTTCCCAGTGTGATCTTGGAGAAGTCACTTAACCCCTGCTTGCTTCAATTTTGTCATCTGAAAAATGGAGATAATAATAGTACCTTCCTCCCAGGATTGTTTTAGGATCAAGTGAGATAATAATTATAAAGCGCTTAGCAAAGTGCCTAGGCACTATGTACATGTTAGTTGTTCTTATTATATTAAATGTGTGTATTTATTTTGCCTCGCTATACTTCTTTGTTACAAAAGAGGGCTCTATGTAGGGTGGGTAGAGGATGCAGAAGCAAAAATGAGGTAGGTGTGTGTGTGTGTGTGTGTGTGTGTGTGTGTGTTTTAAAGGAAAGAATATCAATAATACTTTTTTAAAAAGAGAAATAAGGAAAGGTAATGAATTTGGCACCAGATTACGGAAAAAGCTGAATGCCAAGCAAAGGCGTGAACATTATTTGAGGAACCACCAAGGAATTTAAGCAATAGCTGCATGAGTCCCGCCCTCTTGTTTCTCAAACTCCCGTCCACACCTCTGTTTATGCTGGCTGTGTTTTCACAAAGGCGCAAACACAACTGAGCCCCCTGGTGCTGGTTGCCTCTATGAGTGAGTGCTTTGTCGCACAAACAAGTTTACCCCACAGTTGGTGATGATCATGAGGTTGACTGAAAGGGCAGCTCTCCGTGGTGCAGCCTGACTCACCAATGTGCCTATCTACACCCGGCCTCGGAGCAGTGGTAGACATTCTGTGAGAGCAGTGCCAGTGCAGAGGAGGGACCCAGGAATCAATTGACAGTAACAACCTTCCGAATTCGTAAACATGATTGACAGTACTTATATCTAAACAATCCAATCCAATCTAATCCAAGAAACAATTATTAAGTACCTACTATATGCCAGGCACTGTGCTAAGTGCTGGGGATACAATTAAAAAAAAACACATCCCCTGCCCTCAAATAGCTTATAATCTAAAGAGAGGAGACAGCACAAAAGGCAGCAGAAGAGCAGGCAGGGAGTGATGGGGCACTGGAGAGTACCCAACATGGGTGCATCTTGTTCCCTGAAGTTGAAATCAGGTAGAGCAGCAGATACAAAGGGAAGTAAAAACACAAAATATGTGGTGACACTTTAGATTCCATCAACCAATCAATCTATTAAGCCCTTACTATGTGCCAGGCAATATGCTGATGGTAGGGCTAAAAAGAAAGCTCAAAAGTCCCTGCCCTCAGGGAGCTTACACTCTAATGATGGCACATGCTGCAGGCTTCCTAAGCCTTAAAATCTGCTCTGAGGCTACCAGAGCTAGAGAGGGAGCTTCTGACATGGTAACCAGTCATGGGAGCATCTCTAAGAGTAAATCTTGACTTTTATGTATGGTAGAGTCCAACATGCTTGGGAGCAAGAGCTTATTGTAGGAGTCCTCAGGATTTTCTCAGAGAGTAAAAATATTCTTCAACAATTGACCTCAGGGAGTAGGGTTGGAAAGTACTTAAAAGGTGATCTCTGAGGCAGATTCCCTCTAGAGCCCCAAATTAAACCTGTGTTCTCTGCTCCAGTGTGACTTGGGATATCCAAGGTGTCCCTCCTTGGACTAAACTGAAACACCCAGACAAGGTCCAGACTGAATCAATCAGTAATCAAATTAACAACCATTTGTTCAGCGCCTGTGCTGGACTCAACACTGGGGACATAAATACAAAGAATGAAACCATTCCAATTCTCAAGGGAGCTTCCATTCTAAAAAATCTCCATCAGCAGAGATCAGCACAAAGACTTGTAATCACTTTTCCATTGCATTCTCCTCACTCAGCACCCCTTCTCATCCCTCATTTTCTCACCAGTGGGAAGTCCAATGGGGACCCAGACTGTGAGGGCCCTGCACCCAGCGTTTCACCTGCCCTGACCCAGAGTGCTTTGGAGGAGATCAGCCAAGAGGTCAAGGCCAAGATCGAGGAGGAGGCTTATAATAAAGGGTAAGTTTTCAAGCATCCAGATAGACATCCCTTAGGGTGCTTCTCATAGGGAGGAAAATCCAGTAAGGTAAGAAACAACTGTAAAAGCTTACAAGTTGATTCCAATTCAATTCAATCCTATAAGCATTTATTGGGGGCCTGCTACATGCCAGGCACTGTGCTAGGTGCTGGGAGTATAGAGACGAAAAGAAAATAGTCCTTGCCTTCAAGGGGCTTCTACTCTTCTGAAGTCATTGCAATGATGGTTTAAGAAGGAAGGAAGGGAATGATCATAAGAGTGGCCGCTGAAGTCCCCAGGTACCCAACAGCAAACATACCATTAATACTTACTTGTGCATACTGACCCCCTCAGGCAGTCTGGTAAAGCCTATAGACCTCAGAATAGTGTTTTTAACTGTCTAAAATAAAATGTATAGGGTTACAGAAGAAATCAATTATATTGAAATATAGTTATCAATTTTAAAAAATAAATTTATAGAACCAAATAGAGAACCCCTGAGAGTGTATAAAGTTTAAAAAAACGTATACAACCCAAATTAAGAGCTCCTGATCTAAAGTATATGAAGTAAGGTTAGAAATAGAGCTAGACAGCTCTTTTTGTGATGGCTGAGAACTGGAAATTGGGAGGATGCTCATCAGTTGGGAAATGGCTAAATGAGCTGTGGTATATGATTGTAACGGAACATTATTGTGCTGCAAGAAATGACAAGCAGGATGAGTTCAGGAAAACCTGGAAAAACCCACATGAACTGATACAAATTGAACTGAGCAGAACCAGGAGAACGTTGTACACAGTAATAGGAATATTGTTTGATGAAGAACTGTGAATGACTTAGCTGTTATCAGCAACACAATGATCCAAGACAATCGCAAAGGACTCATGATGAAGCATGCTGTCCCCCTCCAGAGAAAGAACTGATACTGTCTGAATACTGACTGAAGCATGCTACTTTTCACTTTCTTTCTTTCCTTCTTTTTCTTTTATTCGAGTCTTCTTGTACAAAATGACTAATGTGGAAATATTTTATATGATTGCACATGTATAACCTATATCTGATTACTTACTGCCTCAGGAGGAGGAGAGGGAGGGCTAGAATTTGCAACTCAAAACTTTGAAAACAATGTTAGAAAGTGCTTCAATATGTAATTGGGGGGAAATAAAATATTATATATGAAGAATTTTTTTAAAAGTAGAGCTAGACCATGAAGAGTCTTGAGCTCTAGTATGAAGGGAAAGTAAACTTGAAAACAGGTTACCAAATTACTTGAGAGGTACTTCAATGAGGGTGGAATCCCTTGGACTCAGGAGTCTTGGATTCAAGTTCTGACTTTAAAAGGTATTGGCTGTGTAACTCTGGGTAAGTCTCTAAACTTCTTTGAAATGGGGATAGTAACACCTGTACTTCTTGCCTCGCAGGGGTAACATCAGTCAGTCAACAAGCATTTCTTAAGCTATTAAGCATATACAGCTAAGCGGTGTGGTCGCAGTGCTAGGCTTAGAGTTGGGAAGATCTGAGTTCAAATTTGGCCTCAAATGCTTATTAGCTGTGTGACCCTGGACAAGTCACCTAACCTGTGTGTGCCTTCATTTCCTCCTCTATAAAATACGGATAATAATAGCACTCACCTTGCAGGGTTGTTGTGAGGATCCAATGAGATAGTATTTGTAAAGTGCTTAGCACGGTGCCTGGTGCATAGTAGGTGCTCTGTGAACACTATTTTTAGTTGTTGTTATTAAGCGCATAGTATGCCAGGCCCTGGGATATGAGGCGAGCTCCTTTGTCAATCTTAAGATATTATAGCAATGTATGTTATCATTACAATTGCTTTTCTCTGGCCTTCCAAAAAACCCCAGCTACTAAATAATTTAGTTTACATTATTTAAACCTGCTTAACGTCTCCTAGAATTGCTGTGTCCATCGATTAATGCTGTTTGACATTGATCCAATATTACCAGGCTCTTTCCCTGGAAAGTGCTGGCCCTTTTCCCTTCTCTCATCCTGCATATAAAGTTCTACCAAGCCAGGCTCACCTGAGACAGGGCAAAGCCAGGCCCAACGTGGGGAGAGGCGGGAGCGTAGGGGTCTAAATCCAGGAAATGGTTAACAAGAAGAGAATGTTTTGTTTTGTTTTGTTTTGTTTCGGGGGGGAGGGCTATGACGAACATTTTATGTGACATTTCCTACAAACAGGAAGGATGAGAGCAGGGATGAGGGGAAATACTATTGACAGGAGAGAGAGTATCGGAATGGATGGTGGCTCGGTTGTGCATTGCAGCCTCTTCCTCTCATCCACAACCACAGGAAGCCTCCGATGCCGACAGTCCCCCAACTCCAGGAATTGAATGGAAAGGTTGTCCCTGGCCTGTCCTTTCCCAGGCTCAAAACCAAACCAAACCAAACACCGCTTTTCTTTCCCTAAAGGTATCAAGAAGGCCTAAAGAAAACCAAAGAGCTTCAGGAACTGAAGGAAGATGAAGAAGAGAAGGCGAATGAAAGCCTCGCAGGGCCAGAAAGGGAAGATGAGGAAAAGGAGCTAAAAAGCAGGTGAGCTCCAGCCACCTCTGGAGCACTTAGAGCTGAAAGAAGATCCCGGCACTTGGCAGCTGAGGGCCAAAGCCCTAGGCAGAGAGCAGGGCGGACACACAGTGGCCATAGACACTCTATGCAAATAAGACAGAGATAGAGAGACAGATGGAGGGAGACAGAGAGAGAGAGAGAAAGAAGGAGCAAGGGAAGGAGAGAGGAAGAGAAAAGGAGGAAACGAGAGAGGGAGACCCAACAGGGATCCAAAGTCCATGCAAAGAGTCAGCAACCCAGAGAGACACAGGAGCCGAGGGAAAGAGAATTAGGTGGGGCGGGCCCAGGCTCAGGTACATAGCCAAGAATGGGAAACTGAGACACGTTTTCAGATGTGGCCAATGTCTTGATTTGTTTTTGCTTGACTATACTTATTTGTTAAAATGAAGGACTTTAAAAATTCAGGTAGGGGAGCCACTTTGGGAGGGAGAGGAGGATAGTAATAGGGGAGAGAGAGAGCGAGAGAGAGAGAGAGAGAGAGAGAGAGAGAGAGAGAGAGCAAGAGAGAGAGAGAGAGAGAGAGAGGAGAGAGAGACAGAGAGACAGAGAGAGAGAGAGAGAGAGAGAGAGAGAGAGAGAGAGAGAGAGGGAGGGAGAGAGAGAGAGAGAGAGAGAGCGAGAGAGAGAGAGGGAGAGAGAGAGGGAGGAGAGAGAGGGAGAGAGAGAGAGAGGAGAGAGAGAGGGAGGGAAGGGAGGAGAGAGAGAGAGAGAGAGAGAGAGAGCGAGAGAGAAGAGAGAGAGAGAGAGAAGAGAGAGAGAGAGAGGAGAGAGGAGAGAGAGAGAGAGAGAGAGAGAGAGAGGGAGAGAGAGAGGGAGGGAGAGAAGGAGAGAGAGAGAGAGAGAAAGAAAGAAAGGAAAAGGAAAGAAGAAAGAGAGAGAAAAGGGCAGGGAGGAGGGAAGGAAGGAAGGAAGGTCATGATAGCATATTTTAAGTACACGGAAGAGAACAGAGGAGGATTGGAAGGAGACACAGACAAATAGGATAGTTTTGAAATTAATGTGTTGAACTGATTACGTTCTTTTTGTTATGGAAGCTCTAACTAACATTTGTGGTTTCACATACAATGTTCTTTATGGAGCATGGCATAGTGGATAGAGAGCAATCCTCAAAGCCAGAAAGACTTGAATTCGAATCCCACCTCTGATACATACAGGCTGGGTAACATTGGGCAAATCACTTCACCTCTTGGTGTCCTAGGCAACTCTTTAAAACTCTGAATTGCAGAGCAGGTACCCATCTGCATTGGTAGAGAAAGTTTTCTCACCTGAGAGTTCTCTGTGCTAATGAAATAACAGGTCCAGTCCCTTTCCTAAGTATACAGAAATGCTCGTGTTTGATGATATTTTCTTCAAGTATAGAACAACAAAAGTAAAAACAAAATATTTTATTTTTTTAATGGACGAAAGCCTCTGGCGTAGGTACCCTCCCTGCCTTCGGCCCTACTTTGCTCCTCTTGTTGAGGCTGGTCGGGAGGCCAGCAGGCGGAGCAGCAGGTAGCAGGTGCACAGAACACATGGCTCACTTGGTGCAAAGGGAAAGCAGAAATGACCTGGTGATGTTGAAATGTGGTTTTCTGTGTTTATAAAGAAAAGAGGAAGCTGAGGGATGAAGGGGGAGTGGCTTGAGACTACCCAGGCCCAAATAGGTCTCCAGGATCATTCAAGACTCCTGAAAGCTGTTTTCCTCAGGACCAGGCATCACATCAATCCTTTGTTTGAGTCACTTGGTCTATACTATTGTCTATCAGACTCACAGCTACACACCAAAATTCTCTGGGACTTCCTCATTACTTGTTCACTGTGAATCTTTACATTTTATCTGATTATTTGGCATTAATCATTAGAAACCAAAAGTATTCTGGGTTTAGTCATAGCCCTTGCCGTCTATAAATGGACCGCCAAGCAGCAGAGCCCAGAGAGAGATCAGCCACTTTGTCTGGTAGAGCAATGAGGGAAGGTTGGGTTAGGACAGGACTTCACTGAGGACCAAGCTGGAAGCTCTCAGAATCCCCACTGTATTGTTCACCAAGTCAGAGGACTAGAGTGTCATAGATGTACAGCTGGGGGACCTCAGCAGGCAGTGGCAGCAATGCCTTCATTTTATAGGGGGGGGTCAGGAAGTACCCAGGTACCAAGCAGGAGCTGCCTGGAGCTCATCGGCACACATCCTCTCTGTTTCCCGGAATTGAAGGAAACAAACCTAGCTTTCTCCAGAAGGCCCAGAAACCACCCTCTCCAGTGAGTGCTTCGACTTCTCACGTGCCCTACAAACACACCCGGGATGGCTCGGTTCAGAAAACATGCTTCCTGGCTCCTCTGGTCACGTGCTGGGCGCATCAGCCCCCGGCTGAAATTGAAGCCCTAAGGAAATCCGGCATCCAACCCCATGAACCAAGGGAGGTGGGGCATGGTGCAGTGGGAAGAATGCTGAGCTTGGGGCCAGGGGAGCTGGCAAGTCATGGGGCCTCAGTTTCTTCATCTGCAAAATGAGCTGGTCAGATTATAGAATTTCCAAGGTCCTTTCCAGCTCTAAACCTATTACCCCATGAAAACTGTTTCAGGTAGAAAGCCTCTCCCACACTTCCCTCAGAAAGAGCACAGTAAAAATAGAATAACAGTAATAAATATATTAATAATTATTATTATCATAAAACTGGCCAAGGAGCAAGGGAGATCCAAAAGACCTCCTTCTGATACTTACTAGCTGTGTGGCCATGGGCAAGTCCCTTGATCTTTCTGAGTCTCAATTTCCTCTTCTATACAGTGGGTATAATTGCATTATTTGTTATGTTGTTATTGTGTTTCGTGACTGTGGGATTCCTGGAGTGTGGGATGGGAGGTAAGTGTGCAGGGTAGTGCCAAGGCCAGAAGCCAGAGCAAGCAAAGCATGACAGAGCTAGGAGGTACCTTAGCAACCAACCCTCTCACTTTACAGAGAATGAACGTGCGGCTCAGGGAAGGTGATTTGCTTAAGGTCATGCAGCTGATTAGTACCAGAACCAAAACCAAAACCCAGCATGTTATAGGAACTAAATAATGGGACAGGAATTGGAACTGAGATTTCATTGGTGTGAGAACCCCAAATGAGGAAATTGCTTTTGCCAGTGTAGGTCAGTGTCTTCTCTACAGTTTATAATCTCAAAGAGTTGCCCAGAGCAGGGAGAGCTTACTCTGACTTGTCCAAGGTCACAGAGCCAACTTGTACCAAGGATGGATTGTTTCTTTATCTGCTGTGCCATACTGCCTGAGTCTAAACATTTGCTTTAAAATGGTTGAGTGGTCTGTGCTCAACGGGTCTCATTAACAGGAAAGTATGGTAGTTGGGTGGCAGGGGGTGGAAAGCGTGGGTGAAGACGTATCCATTGAACTAAAATTCCTATCCTTTTTTTTTTTTGACAGCAAACTTGAAGCCTTGATTAATTTTTTACAAATACTATACCCCAAGCTGTGCCAACATTGGAATGTGATTTGGATGGTGGCAGCGGCCATTCTCGTTTTCACGGTCGTGTTGGGCCTATACAACTCCTATCACTCTTGCACCGAACTGTCGGAGGGGTCATCTGGAAAAGCCCCTTGCTCTGCCTCCCGGTGGGACTCCTGGTGGAACTCAGGACTACAACAGGAGCAGCCCACAGAGCAATAGAGAATGACTGGACACCCAACTGGTGGGTGACCCTGCTCAAACATGCCTAGCGTGTCACCATTTTCCAGTTGTTCAATGCAGTTAGGGACACAGGTGTGTTCATGATTCGACATCCCTGCTACCCCAGTCTGGGAGTGAGATGGGGTGCTTTTCACTCACCATGACTGGTGGAATATGAAGACCCAATGAAACTGTCCAGGGGAGAGGTCAAGGTGGAGAGAGATGTCAGTTTCTCCAAGGAATTCTGCCTTTGAGAAGAGCCCCTTCACTCAAGTAGCAATGGGAGAAGGCCAGAATGCCTTTATTGAAGATCCAGTATGGCGCTGAGTCTTCTCCCCATTTTCTAGGCTTTCAGTGGTTGCCTAGGGAGACTGTAGCCTAGCAGCCTCAATGTCGATGTCAAACCTGGAGGTAGCAGGAAGAGCATTGGACTGGGAGTCTGGAGACCTGGCCTCTCATCCCAGCTCTGGTACTAATCAGCTGCATGACCTTAAGCAAATCACCTTCCCTGAGCCGCACGTTCATTCTCTGTAAAGTGAGAGGGTTGGTTGCTAAGGTACCTCCTAGCTCTGTCATGCTTTGCTTGCTCTGGCTTCTGGCCTTGGCACTACCCTGCACACTTACCTCCCATCCCACCTCCCCTTTTTTTCTTCTTCCTAAAGTTGCTTTTCACAAGAGTGGGAATGGTTTCTCCTGGGAAGTTATCCATATTGTATTTATCTCAAAACTTAGAAAGAAAAAGGAAATCATGTATAAAAATGTTCCTGCATGCACACCATCCACACCCACCCACACACACACAGAAAATTGCAGATCCACCCCTTTGGAGGGAGTCCTTGCTAATTCCATCATGAACGTCAGTCTTCCGTAGATAAGTTGCCAAGCGCGCTGCAGTAACCAGTAACCCACTTACTAGGTGATGTAAACCAGTTTTATTTTTTTTTCTAAGTATCAAAAGCCCACTGACTTGCTGAGAATTTTTCATCACTGGACACCCCCTAGAGGGCACCCCCTTTATTTGTGGTTTTTATTGTACCTTTGAAAATAACTAACCCACCTCCTTTAGAAGAAAGTCCACAGCAGGGAATGAGTCACAGGCAGATTCCTGGCTTGGGGAAACGTGTCTTCAGCTTCACACACTTAATATGCACCATCCCATGGGCTCTCTTGGAGAAGCACCCCCACCCCAACCCCTAGGATGTTTTTCAGCAGTGAGCCCACAAGAACCTAAGAGACACCCTCATTCCTCCCACCTCCCACCTAGGTCCTGCCTACGTGGGCAGGTGTCTCCAGATCTGGTGGAAGGTAGAGGTACAGCAATAACCCCTTCCCAGGATTTTTGTGCCACTTTCCCTGACTCCCATAACTCCATCTCCCCTGACTTCAGTCTTGGCAACAGGCCATACATGAGAAAAGAAACATCTCCTTTGGTAATCTCACTCTGCTTCCTGTGATGTTTCTCCATTTCTTCTTGTGTGAAAGGAGACTGAAGACTTCAGAAGCTAGTGTTGTTTCCAAGTTAGAGTATAGTTTGGTTTGATAGTTCAGCTTTAACAGGGCCCACCCGTGCCAAGCCCTATTTATGCCCTGCCTCAGTTCACCCCCAACTGTTTTCCATGAGCCAACCTGAATAATGGCTGGAAACCAGTTGAAAGATGAAGCCAAAGGCTGATGGACCAAGGATGTACCAAAAGGTCAAAGAGGATGCAGGACGGAGCAAAGGAACATGACCATAAGGCAAAGCCTCCAGGGTTAGAATCAGTGTGTCCATGCCTATCGGATAGGCATCAGTGAACTTCCATGAGCCCTGAGCCCAAACAGGACAAGGCAGGTCTGTGCTGCCTCAGCATCCCCTTTGGGAGCTCTCACAGAGGCTCTGACATTGGTCCCTGGAAAGCAGAAAGCTAGAGAAAGAGCTGAAAGATTCCCGGATCCAGGCAGCTGCTACACATGAGGGGCCGTGCTCCTGAGCATGAGGGCACAAATAGGTATTCCCAGCCCCATCTTTCAACCGGAGCCAGGACCCTCACAGAAGAGAGGGGAAACAGAGAGGGATTCACCTGGCCCAAAGCCAGGGCCCTCACCAGAGAGAGAAGAGATGGATGAGAAGCAAGATATTTCCAAAAAGGCTTGAGGGACATAATATAATGACAGGGAAAAGCCACGAGCAATGACCCCTGGGTGAGGGTGTTCTGAAATGTCAGTCTCCAGCCTGAAGAAGTGAAAATGGGAGATACCATATAGGTAGTCAAGGAGCTGGTAGAAACACTCCTGAGGACAAGATGGAGGTTGCTCCTAATAACCATCATAGTTGACATTTCGATGGCATCTTCAGATTGGCAAAGCACTTCACCAGTGTTAGCTCAAATAAGCCTCAGAACAAACCCTTCAGGCTTTGTTATCTCCATTTTCAAGGTGAGGAAACCAGGGCTGGAAGAGGTTCAATGAAAAAATGTGTTAAAAAGCATCCCTTGATATTGGAGTTCACTTCAACCGCCCTCCAAAGTACATGACTTCTCTCCCACAAGAGTGTGACAGATGAGCATTAGTCCCTGAGTACCTTCTGCTTTTTCTGTAGCCATGAACTGGACACACAAATAGGTGTCCTTAGGCTCTGTGTCTGCTGCGCTGTACCTCGTGGCCACCTGAGTGGGAAAGACTGGTTGGGGGCACTGGCTTGGTGCACCATGCTATTTAAATCCACACAGGTGTGCCAGCCTTTTACTGAATAGTGTCACATACTTGAGTTTGAAAATAAAAGTAGTTCCTGAGGCTCCTCCATGGTCACTGGTATGGTTTCTTTATGCACCACATCTTTATGTTTCTGTAAGAATGGATCAAGCCCATAGCCCACCACTGATCTCAAACTGAGGACCGCAGAGGTAGGGGCAGAGTTGTAATGATGATTTCTTGCACCTGGGGAAGGATGAGCAGCTAGGTGGTGCCATAGAGCATAGAGTGCTGGGCCTGAAGTCAGGAAAACTCATCTTCATGAGTTCAAATCTGGCCTCACTTACTAGTTGTGTGACCCTGGGCAAGTCACTTCACTCTGTTTGCCTCAGGTCCTCCTCTCTAAAATGAGCTAGAGGAGGAAATGGCAAATTCCTCTAGTATCTTTGCCAAGAAAACCTTATATGGTGTCACAAAGAGTCAGACACAATTGAAACCTGGGGAAACAACAACAACCTGGGGAAAATTGAATTGGGGGAGGGGGTGAGTAGCAGCAGCACAGGGGGCAGTCCAGCCAAAAAGGTACAGGAGGAGAAGAGACCTGAATTTGGCCCCAAACCACATGGGGGAAGGGGGGTCACAGAGAAAAGACCATGGGGTGGACGCTGAGGGGTGCTCAGGCCATATTCCAACATGAGTCGTTAGAGGATTCCTAGGTGAAAGGATGTAAGACATGGGAGCGGTGGTTTACCAGTTAGGGCTCTGGGAAGGAGAGTATTTGGGCCATCCATAGAAGTGTCTTGACTATGGATTCTGTTGGACTGCATTCCCCTCCAGCACGCCTGTCACCATATTGTGTGCCCTCACCACAGGAGCCTACCAAAGAGACAGTCCTGGCTCCCCATCCCCCCATCCCAGACCTGAAGGGAGCTGGAAGTCTCGGGGTCCTCAGGGATGCTTGCCTAATTTTCTAGAGGGAGGGAGGGAGGAGTCCAGAATTGGATCATCTCTAATGCAAAATTTTCATCATCTGAAATTTATATATAGAAGCATAAAAAAAGCCCTTGGATTATTCATTTTCCAAGTGCAATTGGAATTTAGGGATTTCGAGGAAGGAGAGGCCTTGGAAGTCATCCAATCTCATCCTTTAACTTTGCAGACAAGAAACCCGAAAATTTTCATTCAGCTAGAAAGCTGAATGAATTCTGCCCAAGGTCTCCCAGGTCCCAGCACTGAGGTTTGAGCCCAGGATCTGACTCCAAATTCGCTGCTCTTTCCATGGCATCCTACTATCTGGAAGGCCACCAGCTCTAGAAAAGCAGCAAGCCTCCTTTTGTTCATTTTATTGCAACGTAATAATCATAAGAACATACATTCACAGGGAACCGTGTGGCGTATGAAGTGTTTTTGCATTCGTTATCTAATTTTAGCCTCGCCACAACCATGTGCTCAAGGCAGGGAAGATACAGGGAGGACCAACGTTATTAAATGACTTGGCTGAGGCTAATTTGTGGCAGAAGCAGCGGAGTTAGGAAGGGGAGCTGCGCTTCTAGGAAGATTATGTTCTAGACATGATGGGGATGATTTGGAGGTAGCCAAGTGGACACAACCCATAGACATTTGGATCCATGGGGCTGGAGCTTGGGAGAGAGGTTAGGGCTGGAGCTGGAAACTCCCAAGTCATCCTCTTAGAAGTAGTCATTGAAGTAGTGGAATGGGTGAGATGAGGGGGAGGTAGGGAAGGAGAGACAGAGACCGAGATACTCCTAGGCACAGAGACAGAGAGACAGATCCAGGTATTCGGACCCCTAGGTCAGTATCTTCTTCCCACATCATACTTCGTCTGTACAACTTACCACTTAGAAGCTTTGGGCCTTCAGTCAAGTCACTTAAGCCCTTGGAGTTTCAGTGCCCTCACCTACATGGGTATATTACAACCTGAACTAACAACCTCACAAAATCACTGTGAAGATTGAAAGAGACAATGGATGTAAAGCACCTTGTAAACCTTAAAGGACTCGAAGTATTAGCTCTTACCACTAATTGGTAATCCCATCTCTCAGTCCCGGCACCAGCACCAGCTTCCCCCTCAGCCCAAATTCCTGAAGACTAGAGGAAAGAAACAGAAACTAGGAGATGGGCAGCTTTGTTTTAAAAACTTCTGAAAAAATTTAATATTTCTCTTCCTTTGATCCCACTGTCTCCCCAAGCTCTCATCCTATTTCTGTCCTTTCTCTGCCAGACTTCTCCCAGGAATGTTCTAGGCACTCGGGGTTTCAGCTTCACCACCCACTCATTGCCCTCACCGCTCCCAAGGACTGCTTTCTCTTTGATGTCATTAAATCCAATGCCCTTTTCTCCATCCTCATCTGTCTTGCCCTCTCTGTAGGAGACTACACTGTAGACCATTTCCTCCTGGAAAATGCCCTCTGGCACATAACTCTACCCTCCCCCGACCACCATTTCCCCATATTTGTAATCTTCTCTATTAAAAATGGAAATTGCTTAAGAGCAGGATCTGTATTACTTTTTGTATTTGCATCTCCAGCATTTCACAAAAGGCCTGATACACAGTATACAGCTTGATACATGTTTTACATTCATTTATTTCCTCATTCATTCTCTCTATGTCTCTCCTTTTCTTCTCTTCCTCCTTCTTCTTCTCCTCCTCCTCTTCTTCCTCTATCATCTATCTCTTTCCTCCCTCACTCTTGCATATATCTACCTACCTACTTATCTATTTATCTGTTTCTCTTTCCTTTCTGCCTCTCTCCTGTTCTCTCCCTCTTCCCCCTTTCTCCCGTGTCCTCCCTCTCTCTCTATCTCCATTTCTCCTTCTCTCTCTTATCTCATCCATTCCTGCTACCTAAACTGCCACTTTTATGAGGGTAACATTTATTTCCTAAACAAATAATTTTTTGTTTTCTTTCCATGGCCACTTGCTTGAGTATCTCTCTGTCTCTCTGTCTCTGTCTCTGTCTCTGTCTCTCTCTCTCTCTCTCTCTCTCTCTCTCTCTCTCACACACACACACACACACACACACACACGCACACACATACTCTCTCTCACAGCCTTTCTTGCTTTCTCTCTTTTCTTTCTCTCCTCCTTTCTTTTCAGCAGCTCATCAGATAATATATTTACAACTAGAAAGGATTTTAGAGATCCCTGTATTTTTCTCTTGGCAAAATTGATGCCCAGCAGATTGATTACATGACTTACCCAGGATCATACAAGCAGTACATAACAGGGGTGGGGCTTGAACCTTTGTTTTCCTAATGCTGAAGCCAACGAGTGTTCATTTTTGGTGCATCGATGCCGATCTCTCTACTAGATAGCGTGCTATTTATGGACAGAGACAACACCTGATCCACTCTAGTGTCCCTCTGGGCGCTAGGTGAGTGAGTACTAAATGACTGCCCAACATCTCCGTAACCTTCACCAAAGGTCACAGAAGTAGTAAGCAGCAGAGGTGATACTTGGCCCCAGGTCCAAATCCAACATTCTTCTCACTGAACCACAATGCCTCCTCTAACCACTCCCCCGACACATACACACGTGCATTCACGTGCGTACGTTGAAGATGTTATTTTAAAATACATTTTAATTTTATGCATGGGCATTCTGGAACAAGTTCTTCCAACCTTCACTTCCCTGAGTATGCACATATTATCCAAAGCGGCCTTGCTAATGACCATCTGCAATTAAACCATGGAATCATAGACACTCTCTGGAAGAGTCATCAGCAGTTACCTAATACAACCCATGTGGTGGTGGTGGTGTTTAGTCCTGTCTGACTCTTCTTGACCCCATTTGAGGTTTTCTTGGCAAAGATCCTGGAGGGGTTTGCAATTTCCTTCTCTAGCCCATTTTACAGATGAGGAAACTGAGGCGACAACAGGGTTGAGTGACAGGAGAGAGGCAGCTAGATTTGAACTCATGAGCATGAGTCTTCCTGATTCCAAGTTCTATCCACTGTGCCACCTAACTGCCCAACACAATGTATTACTGTACAGGAATGCCATTTACAATTACCCCTGACAAACGGTCAGCCAGCTTCCGTTAAAAAACTTCAGGTGATGGGGAACTCGCTCCCCACTGAAGCTGCCTTGCTGAACTTTCGAACAGCTCCAGTAGGAAAGAAGATTTTCCAAAATTTGCTTTTGTGCTGCTTTCCCTTTGGTCCTCATTCTCACCACTGGGGTCAAGCAAAATAGGTCATGTCTATGTAACAGCCCTTCAAATAGTTGGTCTCTTATTATGTCCTACCCAAGTCTTCTCTTCACGCTGAACACTTTACTAGCTTTATGATCCTGGGCAAGTCTACCCCTCTAAGCCCCAGTTTCTTCATCTGTAAATCAAGGGGATTGGACTAGATGGCCCCTGGGCCCCTTCAGCTCTAAATCTAACTCTAAATCCTCCCTGCATGAAGGGAGAAGGGGTATTTTGGATAACCCATCAATCGTTAGAGCTAAAAGGGGACCATGGACAGCAGAAGATAATAGGATTGGAGCTGGAAGAGACCTCAGTGGCCATCTAGCGCAAGCTCTTCATTTTGCAGATGGGAAAACCAAGGCTGAGAGTTGTTAAGTGGCTTGCCCAAGGTCACACAGCTGGCAAGTTTCAGAGGCAACCCTTGTGCCCAAGTGCTCTGAATCCAGAAGCAGTGAGTACTTTTTCCCATTTTTCCTGCTGTCTCCCAAACCACATCATTTTACAGAGAAGGAATCTGATCATCAGACCCTTTTACTCGTCAGAATTGTGGTGGGAGAGGCATGGGAAGCCTCAGCCTGGCAACAGGAAGGAGGGAGGTCAGGTCCTGATATTGGGGGAAGTAGTTCTTCCTGACACAGGCACAGGAGGGGGCATTCTCAGCTGGGGCAGATTTACAAAGCATACCTACTTCTCACTGTCAGGAACTCGGAGGCTTCCCAAGGGAAGACCTTTAGAACTCCGTAGTAGGCTCACAGACACAATGGCTATTGGTCTGCAAGCAAACAAGGATTTTCCAGTGCTGGAGATTCCGACTGGTTCCTTTCAGCCTTATTGGAGAATCATAGGATACCAAGACTTCAGCTATGAACAACCTTAGAGATTATCTAGTGCCCAAGGGTTCTTCACCTGAGACCAAGAACCTGTTTTTTAAAAATATTTTGACACTTGTAATTTGATATAATTGGTTTCCTTTGTAATCCAAATTATTTTATTTTATGCATTTAAAAAGATTTTTATAAGAAAGCATCCATGACACACAAAGAGGTGAGGATTCCCTGCTCTAGTCCAAACTTCTCATTTCATAGATAAGGAAACCGTTAAGTCAATAAAATCCTGGAATTTCAGACTTAGAAGGGGTTTTAAGACCATCCAATCCAAACCCTATCAGAAAAAGAATGTTCTTTATAACATATCAGACAAGTGACCTTGGCTAGAAGACCTCACAAGAGAAGAAATCCACTGGGTTCCATCCAAGGCAGCAGATTCTGCTTTGAGGTAGCTCCATTTGTTAGGAAGCTTTTCTTATGCCAAACCTAAATTAGCCTGTGTAATTTCCACCCATTGTTTCTGGTCCAGTCCCTCTGGCACTAGGCAGAGCTTAATCCATCCTTCACAGAACAGCTTATCAAATATTTGCAATCATGTGTTTGTCCATCCACCCACCCATCCATTCTCCCCTCTCAGGACTTTCCTTCTCCATGCTAAACATGCCCAGCCCCTTCAGCTGAGCTTCCTATGGCATGATCTCAGTACTACTGTTCACCACTTCAGGTGCTCTTCTCTAAAAGCTTTCTAGCTTATCAACGTCCTTCCTAAAATGTGATAGCCGGAATTAGCCAGGCATTACATGAAATTAAACTAAATAAACATATAATAAATGAATTAAGTTAGATAAAAGGAAAATTAAATAAAATTCTGACCAACATAGAATGTACTAGGATGGTCACCTTCCAATTCCCAGAAACTGTATTTCTCTGATCACAGGCTAAGACTGCTTTCAATTTCTAGACTGGCGTGGGTGATCAATAAATGTAGATTGATTAGTTGAAATCATACTATATTAAGTTTGCAGTCCAATAAAACCCTTACATCTTTTCCAGATGAACTGCTGAAATATTTAGCTTAGAAAATAGAAGACTTGGGGTCAATGTGATGGTTGTGTTCAAGTATTTGAATGGCTGCCCTATAGAGCAGAACTAGGCACTGTGGATAGAAGTGGCCAACAAGAGGCCAATTTAAGGTCATTAGAACCTTGGTGACAGATAGATCTGCCCTGAGTGGAATGGACGGCCTCTGGAAGCGGCTGGTTCCTCCTGACTTTTGGGTTTTAAGCAAAAGTTGGATGACCACTTAACACATGTTAAAAAGTTGAGTATGGATAGAATTGGGATAAATTAGCTCATGGAATTACAAATCTGGAGTTAGAGAGGTCTTAGAGGTCATTTAGTCCAACCCCCTTATGAGGAGACTGAGTTAGTTGATTAGCATTTATTAAGCGCCTACAGTGTGCCAGGCACTGTGCTAAGCCCTTTCACAAATATTATCTCATTTGATCCTCACAACAACCCCTCAAGGTAGGTGCTGTTATTATCCTCATTTTACAATTGAGGAAACTGAGGCAACCAGGGATTAAGTGGCTTGTCCACAGTCATATAGTCAGCATCTGAGGCTAGATTTGAACTCAGGTCTTTCTGACTCCTGGCCCAGTGCTTTACCCATTGTACCACCAACGGCCTCCAATTGTTCTTTCAAAGTCCCCACCCCCACCCCCACAAAGGGAATCCTGTGGAACACATCCTGAAATAAGCAAATGTGGGTAAGTATTAAAATTCATCTGGCCAAGCCTTATTTTCCCTCACTGAGATTGAGGGTGGGCAGGGTGGAGGACCCAAAATCCCAGCTCTGTCTTCCATGGAACCCCAGCCCTTGGCTAGGAATTAGTAAATGACCCACTTGGGAGGAATTAACCCTGAACGATGTAAGAAAGGAAGAACAGAGCAGCCAGCTTCACAACATCTGGCTGACCAGGAAGGAATGCATCAGGGCAAGCTGGGCTATCTGCCTCTCTCAGCTGCCTGCTCTCTGAGTCAGCAAAAGCTGAATTTTCCAGACAGCCATCCATAATACACAGGCTTCGTGTTCATTTCCCCCCATTGACCTTGACAAGGGGATGGGCGGGAAGCAAAGTGGACAGCGACCATAGCGCTCTGACAGCTCACAATCTCACAGTCCTCTGCCGGGGATCTCCAATACATCAAGTTCTCCAAGGAGAGAGCAGGCAATAGAAGGCTGGTCAGCCTCTCTTGGTTTGAGGACCTTTCCAACCATGGCACGCTGCTCCACCATGGAATGCTGCCCCACCATAGCTCTGCTCCTTTCCCCACTCTTGTTCCTGGTTCAAGGCTTGCTCCAGGCAGAAGGTAGGTCTCACGCCAACTCACTCCTCTTTGGTGGGTGGGTAAGCCACAAAAGACTTGGATTCTCTGCTGCTGGATCACTGAAGCTTGGGTGGCTCCAGATTCACATCAAGTGGAAGCACCAACCTGACAGCCCAGCTTCACCCCAATAGATCAGAGGAGTCTATGAGCACAGGACTTTTTGAAATCATTCATCTCTGGAAGGATCTATTTTTCTTAGACCCCTCTAGGTCTAGAGCTAGAAGCTACTTCAGAAGCCATCTTATCAGAGAAAAAGGTATTCAGGCAGGGAAACACTCACCCAGGGAGGCCAAGCAATTTTCTCAAGGTCCCCTGGATTAGGAAGCACTAAAGTCAGGGGCAGGATTTGAACCCAAGCCAGTCTGAATCCAGGGCCAGGGTCCTTTCCATTGTACCATAGTGATCTACATATACATCATATCTACCTTTAAGTAGCCATTGCTTTGTTTTGAGGGGTTTTGACAAGTAAAACAAGTTTCTAAACAAAACAGGGAATGGGGCAGGGGGAGATGAGATCATTGAAACATTTGCTTTCATTGAAGGGCTTAAACCACAATAAGTTCAAATCCCAGCCATGCTATTAGCTGCCTGTGTGACCTTGGGCAAATCAATTAATTTCTGTGGCCCTCAGTTTCCTTACCTGTAAAATTAAGGGGATAGATTCAATGACCTCTAACATCCCTTCTAGCTCTAAGAACCTATGAATAATAGAATATAAGCTCCTTGAGGGCAGATGCTAGTTCTGTTTTTGTATTTATCTCCTCAGCACCTAGCACAGCACCTAGTAGTACATAACATATATTTAATAAATGCTTATTGGATTGAATTGGGTTAAATTAAATAGAATTGACTGGTGGATGACACCTAGGAGGAGCCTTTCGTCATCCCCCTCCCAATAGGGGCGTAAGTATGTACAAACAAAATGGAAACAAGATATTGGGGGTAATCAATAGAGGGAGAGCACTAGCGCTGAGGGGCATAGGAAGGGCTTCCTGTAGAAGAGGGGGCGGGTTTTACTTGGAACTTGAAGGAAGCCAGGAGGCAGAGATGAAGAAGGAGAGAATTCCAGGTGTGGAGGGTGGCCAGTTAAAATTTGGGGAGTTGGCAAATGAAGGCTTTTGTGGAAGGAAAAGCAAAGAGGCCAGGGTCACTGGATTATGGAGTATGCAAAGTGCCATTTAACACTAGGTTTGGCTCTTATTGTCTCCCTGCTTTAGAGTCACCTTTAAGGTGTCAGACTACCTTAAAATGGTTCCTTAGGAAAGCATTCTTAGAGAAACGAATATAGAGAGAGATAGAGAGAGAGAGAGAGAGAGAGAGAGAGAGAGAGAGAGATAGTCCTAGGGATCCCAATTCTCACTCCAGCCACCAAGCAGATGTGACTGCACAAAGGATTCTTTGTTTCTTAATGATTCTCCTTTTGCAGGTTTTAGAATAAAGTGTTTGGTCCTTTGCTCCCTCCCTAATGGAGATTACCCAGTGATCTGGGAGCCCACCAATCAAAGGATCTGATCACTCTTCTCTTTCTCTCCTTCCAACCCACTCCTATCCTCTTACCTTTTAAAATATAGTCTTGTAGAATAATAGGACCTTAGAATGGAAAAGAACTTTAGAGGTCATTAAGGTCAACCTTCCACCTTCATTCAGCAAGGATTCCCTTCAAACCGTCCTTCCATGAGCCCCGGGATCTCAGAGCTAGAAACAATCTCAGAAGATATCTGTCTAGCCCAATCCCTACCTGAAGCAGGAGTCTTCGGTACACTATTGGCTCTGAGAGTAGGAGCTATTTTTTTTTTGCCTTTCTTTGTATCCTAGCACTTAGCACAATTTCTGACACATGGTAGTCGCTTGAAAAATAAAACTGTTTTTTGACTCATTAAATGCTTATTGATTCTGTGTCTCTGGTTAACTCCACGTGAAGACACGTATCCGTCGATGAGGAGCTCATTGCTGCACGAGGCAGCCTGTTCCGCATTTGGACAGCTCTGATTGTCAGCGCACACTAATCCTGAGTTGGAACCTGCCTCCCTGAACGTTCTACTTTTCTTCTTAGTTCAGCCCTCTTGTAAAGTGCTTTGTAAACCTTAAAATGCTAAATAAATGCTAGTTATTATTATTATCATTATTATTATTATTATTATATATTGCCTAAGCAGCCTATGTAAGTTTGGAGAGGCACTTCACTGGAGGGTGGGTCACCAATTGTTTTTTTTTTTCCAGCCATGGTAACTCCTGAAACCATCTATTAAGATGGGGAGGGGATTATGATTTATGGTCTATGCCAATGGGTGGGGCAGAAGTATTTCCCACACCACTGAAACCACATGTCCTGGGCCTCAGTTGCCTCATTTGTAAAATAAGTGAATAGGACCAGATGACCTGAAAGATCCCTTCCAACTCTAAATCATGATGCTAAGTATTTAAGGCAACTGGTTTGTGAGGGAAGGGCTAGAGAGAGGTTAGATGATCAGTAGTGTTAAGGAGGACTAGCTCCTCTGGTGTGAGGGTTTGCTGAGCCCTTTTTGGGGCTGCTCATCTCCACCTGCCACCCAACTCTCACCTGTGGCTCCAAGAAGCTGTAGCATTTACAATGGGACCACACCCCAGGAAACCATCTTAGCAGACAGGGCTAAACCAGTTGCAGGTAACCAACGGATCTCAAAGCTGTCGGTGAGTTGGGGGGTGGGTGTCTACCCCAAACATGTGAAGAGTTCCACCGAGGAATGGGAGAATGAGAACAATTTGTTCCAATGGCCATGAAAGAAGCCGAAGCGGGCACTGTGGAGTGCTTAGAGCTTGGTCAGACATAGAAGATGCCCGAGTCACCCATTGCATCCTGGGCCATCGTTGTCCTGACTTTTGTGTTGGCACTGGACTCCAGTGACTCTGAAAGAGAGAGTGAGGCTGATGACTTTGAGCAACTCTGACTCACTTAAATCCAGTTCATGCATGAGAGAAGACATCACCCCGTGATGTCACTGGTCCTCTTCAGAAACTAAGGACAAAACGATGTCAGTATGAAGTGGTGTACAGGCTGTCCCCTATACCTGAAATGTCTCCCTCCTAAACGCTGCCTCCTGGAACCTCCAACACCCTTTGCAGCTCAGCTCAAATGACACCTGGGATCACTGATTTAGAGCTGGAAAAAACCTCAATTCCATCAGGTCCAAATTCCACATTTTATAGAGGAGGAGACACAGAGCAGTTTAGTATATTTCCCAGGGTCATACCTTCCACAAAAGGACTTTCAGGATTCCCCCAATTGTTCATGCTTCATACTCTCACCCCATCCCACATCAAAGATAAATTATTGCGTATAAACTCTCAGTTCCCCCAGGCAACTCTCTCAAAAGGATTCTTAAACTGAGGTCCATTGATCCATGGGTGAATTTCAGAATGTCTGTGAACTTGAATGGGGAAAGAATTCCAACTTTCTTTTCACTAATTTGTAACTGAAAATGAAGATTTCCCTCAATTGTGAGGAATCTTCTGAAGAGGCTTCACCAAACTGCCAAAGAAGTCTATGGTATTAAAAAAATTAAAAGGTTAATAACCACTGGTCTAAGACTACAGATTGTAGGGGGAAAGTACTGCTAAGCATGGGCAGAGAAAGTATCTCACTGGGAGCTCCCTACGCAGATGAAATCCCAAGTTTAACCCCTCCCCTTCAAAAAAAAAGAAAGACATTTTGCATTTACTTAACTGTGCAGAATGTTATTTCTCCCATATAGAGAACGTAAGCTTCATGAGGGTAGGAACTGTCTCCTTTTTGTCATCCCCGGCACCAAGCACATCGGGCTGAGTCATTTATTTATTTATTTATTTTACGTAACAGGCTCTTAATAAATTATTGTTGCATTGATTTTGTTGAACCCCCAAAGACTATCGATTCCCTTCTGAGTGTTCATATGCCCTTATTTCAGATCTTATCATTGAGCCATGTAGGATCATGGGGATCACCCTCATTGGCAAAGGGAAAGGGCCAGAATTTAATTTCACTGAAGCCAGAGATGCCTGCAGCACGTTGGGTCTCCAGCTGGCCAGTAAAGCTCAAGTGACGACTGCCCGCAACTTTGGCTTTGAGACCTGCAGGTGCGTGCGCATGAGACGCTTCCTATCCATGGCGCTCGGAAGACGGGGTTTCTCTTTTGAGGCGTTTAATGCCCAGATAGCTAATGGATTCTTCTTCTCTTTGCAGTTTCGGGTGGGTCTCTGACAAGTACGTGGTCATCTCCCGCATTTTCCCCAATCCCAAGTGTGGTCGAAACAAAACAGGTGTCCTGGAATGGAAACTGCCCCTCCACCAGAAGCAGTATGCGCACTGTTACAACTCCTCAGGTCAGTGGCATGCTCTAGATAGTGAACCTTCTCCTCTGCTTGGCATTGCTGTGGTTCTGCCTTCCCAACCTGCCTCAAAAAAAAAAAAAGCCTCTAAGCGGCTTAGGGAAACTGGCTTCAATTGAACAACAACAACAATTAGTCCACCCCCTTCCTTAGCAGTCCAGACTATGGCTTACATCATCCCCCAGTGTCAAAGACAGGGCTCTGCACGTAGCCAGTAGTCAATTAATGTGTGTTGAGTTAAATGTGCTTTAGAGGTAAGGAAGGGGGTAGACTAAGGGACGGATTCTGTTGTTCAGTAGTTTTTCCAGCCATGTCCAAATCTTCGTGACCCCATTTGGGGTTTTCTTGGCAGAGATACTGGACTGGTTTGCCATTTCCTTCTCCAGCTCATTTTACAGATGAGGAAACTGAGGCAAACAGGTTGAAGTGACTTGTCTAGTAAGTGGTCTGAGGACAGATTTAAACTCAGGAAGATGAGTATTCTTGACTTCAGGGCCAGAGCTCTCATCCACTGCACTAAGGGTTGGATACAAACCCCACTACTATATGGGAGGACATGTGTATTTAATCATAGGATTAAAGGTTTCGAGCCAGAAGGGATTTTGCAGGTCATCTCGTCCAATCCAGATGAGGAAATCAACACCTGTAGAGGAAAAGTGACTTGGCCAAAGTCATACAGAGAATTAGAGTTAGAGCAGGGATCTACCTCAGGTCCTGTGACTCCACATTCAGAACCTTTTTTTACTCCAGTACTAATGAGAAACGTGCAAACAAATTACCATTTAAGGTAGGGAAAGGTCAGTATGAGCTCTGGACATCAGAAAAGGCTTTCTGGGGGAAGAGACTTTTTTTATGCCTTAAAAGATGGGAAGAACTGCAACAGAGAGAATTGATTGAAAGAAAAGCTGGGAGCAGGATCACACAAGATACTTTCACTGAGCAGGAGGAGCTTAGGAGCTAGATGTAGAGTGGGGAGATCTGAGGTCATCTAGGGAATCAGTCAAGTCAGCAAGCAAGCACCTACCGTGTGCCAGGCACTCTGCTAAGTGATGAAGATACAAAGAAAGGCAAAGAGAAAACAAACCAGTCTCTGGTCTCAAAGAATTCATGATCTAGTAGGAGAGACAACATGCAAACATTTACAAAATATGGACTGGATAAATTGGAGATAGTCAATAGAGAGAAGGGACTTAGTAAAAGACAACTGACTAACTAACTAACTAGCTAACTAAAGTTTTCCGCTTCACTTTATGAATTGGAAAGGTTTTTCATACATTGAAATACCACGAAACCCTCTATCCAGTTAGAGGCCACTAGGTGGCCCAGTGGCTAGAACACTAGAGTATAGACAGACCGATGTTCAAATCCAGACTGACTTACTAGCTGTGTGACCTTGGGCAAGTCACTTAAAGTCTGCCTCAGTTTCCTCATCTTCAAAATGGGAGTAATAATAGCAGGGTTGTAAAGATTAAGTGCTTGCCATGTAGTGGGTACTTAATAGAGGTTTCTTTCCTTTCTTCTTCCTAAACATGATGTCATATATAGATAGATTTATGGAGGCCATAGCCATGGATTAACTTTAAATCTATCCCACAAAGCACAGGTTAAGAATACTCTGCTCTTCATTTGAGCAGAATGCCAAATTCTTCTAATATAATAACGCGTGTTTAAGAATTTTTTAAATAATTAAGTTCCACAAAAATTTCAGATTTTTTTCTTCTGCCCTACTTAATATTTGCCCTATTCATTTAAATTTTGATTTGCCAATAAGGCAGCTGGATGGTGTAGTGGATAGAGCTCCGACCTCCGAGTCAAAAGGACCTCAGTTCAAACCTGGCCTCAGGCATTTGACACTTACTAGCTGTGTGACCCTGGGCAAGTCACTTAACCCTGACTGCCTCACTCCTCCCCCCAAAATTTTTTTTGGTTTGTCAGTATAAATACAATTTCATAAAATTGTGGGATTTTAGTTCTGGAAGGGACTTTGTTAATGAGAAAACTAAGAAAAGCAAAAGAAGTCATTCAAGGTCACTGAGTAATGAGAAATAACTCTAGACCAGGAGGTGAGAGGCCTGAGTTTGAAATTCAGCTCTCACCCCAGTATCTAAGAGCTGTGTAATCAGTTTCCTTATCTTTAAAATGGGAGCAATTCAATATTTATTAAGTACTTGCCATGTGCAAAGAAAAAAAAATGGCAATCCCTACTCCCAATAACCTTACATTTTACTGGGAAGAATGTGGCATGGATACAAGACAGGCATAATAAATAATAGCTGGCATTTCTATAGTGGTTTAAGTTTTGCAAAACACTTTACAACATATGTTGTGACACTTTAACACTATACAAATATCATCTCATTTTATTATCACAACAGCCCTGGAAAGTGCTATCATTATCCCCATTTTGCAGATGAGGAAACTGAGGAAGACAAAGGTTAAGTGATTTGCCCAGATGTATTACATGTAGCAATGGTACCTTTTGGTTTCTTGAATTCTGAAAGTATTACTCGAACCATAAGGTGGGTACATTTGTTGACCACATGGTTCCATCTAGACATGGTTCCAAAGGAAGCATGAATAGAAATCTCTAGTCTCCTCCCTTTTCCAAAGGGAAATATTGATTCCTTCCAGGAGGGGAGCAAGAGGTTGGGGCCATGAGGCTGGCCACTCTGTTCTTCTCTGAGATGGGATATAGAACTAGGATTATATCTAGCTGTGCCCCTAAAAATTGCTAGTCTAGGAGGAAGAATGTCTAGGTTTAAGCCACTTTCCTAATCCATATTCCTTACCAGCTATTTATCCAAAGGCTTGATTCCCTTCCCACCACATGTCAATTACGTAGAGATACATAATGGAAGAGCAAACGAAATCATTAATCCAAGACCAGTTCAAAATGACCTCAGTCCTATTAAATGTTGTTGTTGAATAGTTTCAGTTGTGTCTGACTCTTCCTGACCCCTTTTGGGGTTTTCTTGGCAAAGATACTGGAGGAGTTTGCCATTTCCTTCTGCAGCTCATTTTACAAATGATGAAGCTGAGGCAAACAGGGTGAAGTGACTTGTCCAGGGTCCCACAGGTAGTCCATGGCAGAGATAGGATTCAAAGCCAGGGCCTCTGATTCCAGATCTAGGATTCTTTCCCCTGCATCATGCTCCCTTCCAGGAGTACAGATGTCCACCTCATCCATTCATTTAGCCCAAAGCCTTCCTCACATCTTCCTTCTGGCTTCCCTGACTTATTGTAAGACTCAGCTCCAATTCCATTTTCTGTGGGAGGCCTTTCCTGGTCTATTCCCTGCCTGGCCATTACCTGCCCTACCCCAAACTCCCATCGCCATTGCTGGGTTCTTCCCTCTGAGATTACTTTCCATCTGTACCAGTCTTGTAGGTACATGGTGTCTCTCCCATTAGAGTGTGAGCTCCATGAAGAAGGGACTGTGTTTTTGCCCTTCTTTGGGTTCCCAGACTATCAGAGTGCCTGGCACGTAATGAAGGTTTTTAATAAATGCTTTGTTGACTAATGACCTCCCAGGTCCCTTCCATTCTAAATCTCTGACCTTCCATGCATCTCAAATGTCACTATCCAAGTCATCTGTGTAGCCTACTTCCTTTAGGTCAAGGTTTAGAAGAATGCCAGGGAAAAG